ATATGTGGCCTGATCTCCAAGCAGACGTCGACATTAGAAATAGCAAAGAGCAGGTGCGCAAAGCGTCGAACAAGCCTCCATACGAGATGGAGCCTATTCCCTCTTAATAAGAGAACGTAGGAGCCGACAGAACGCCTCTTCAGAGGAGGAGGAGGAGGAGGAGGAGGAGGAGGAGGATGAAGAGGATCAAGAACTGAGAGGAGCTGAGGCGGAAGAGGGGGGCGGAGGAACTGAGGTGGGAGGAGGAGTCCGAAACTCAGTTCACTGCGCACGGGGGCGCAACTGGCGAGGAGGTGCAATTTATTCTACATACAAGAGGGTGGGGGTGGTGGACGGCCCTCTTGAGGACAGGTACGGTAGTCCAAACGAGCAGGTGGAGGGTGGGGTCCGAGTTTGAATGTCCCTTCTTCGTAGGGACATGAAGTTGACTTGGTCATGACCACCCGTACAACAGAGGGGGCTACAAGGGGTACCTGAGGATTGCCTTCCGACCGTCACTACAGCTGTCTGCCGTTTGCGTGAAAGCGTGTGACACCGTTACAGCTTGGCGTGTGAAGGCGTGTGAACCTGAGTCAGGTGTGAAGGCGTGTGAAGGCGTGTGAAGTCAGGTGTGAAGGCGTGTGAAGGCGTGTGAAGTCAGGTGTGAAGGCGGCGTGTGAAGGCGTGTGAACTTTGAGTCAGGTGTGAAGGCGTGTGTAGGCGTGTGAACTTGAGTCAGGTGTGAAGGCGTGTGAAGGCGTGTGAAGGCGTGTGAAGTCAGGTGTGAACTGAGGCGGCGTGTGAAGGCGTGTGAACTTGAGTCAGGTGTGAAGGCGTGTGAAGGCGTGTGAACTTGAGTCAGGTGTGAAGGCGTGTGAAGGCGTGTGTAGGCGTGGCGTGTGAAGTCAGGTGTGAACTGAGGCGGCGTGTGAAGGCGTGTGAACTTGAGTCAGGTGTGAAGGCGTGTGAAGGCGTGTGAACTTGAGTCAGGTGTGAAGGCGTGTGAAGGCGTGTGTAGGCGTGGCGTGTGAAGTCAGGTGTGAACTGAGGCGGCGTGTGAAGGCGTGTGAAGGCGTGTGAAGTCAGGTGTGAACTTCGGAAGGCGTGTGAAGGCGTGTGAAGGCGTGTGAAGTCAGGTGTGTCGGAAGGCGGCGTGTGAAGGCGCCGGTGTGAACTTCGGAGTCAGGTGTGAAGGCGTGTGAAGGCGTGTGAACTTGAGTCAGGTGTGAAGGCGTGTGAAGGCGTGTGTAGGCGTGTGAAGTCAGGTGTGAACTGAGGCGGCGTGTGAAGGCGTGTGAAGGCCGGGCGGCGGCGTGTGAAGTCAGGTGTGAAGGCGTGTGAAGGCGTGTGAGGCGTGTGAAGGCGTGAGAAGTCAGGTGTGAACTCGGAAGGCGTGTGAAGGCGTGTGAAGGCGTGTGAACTCGGAAGGCGTGTAAAGTCACTGAGTCATGTGTGAAGCCTGAAGGCGGCGTGTGAAGGCGTGTACGGTCAGTGTGACTCACTGCCGTGAAGTCAGTGTGAAAGGCGTGTGAAGGCGTGTCACAGTGTGAACTCCGAAGGCGTGTGAAGTCAGGTGTGAAGGCGTGTCACGGAAGCGTGACGGATCGGACGGGCGTGTGACTCGGACTCTGACTCAGTGAGACACTGATGTGACAGTCGGACAGTGAAGACATGTCAGTGTGAATGATGAGCCTCGGAGACGGTATGATGGCCGCGGACTCAACAGCTAGAGCCGCGCGGTGGCAGTCCACAGGGCCAAGCGGGAGTCCGATCAGTCACCGCTGGGTTGACAGCAGTGCGGCGCCTCGGCCTCCGAGTCGAGTCGGAGGCTCGGAGGGCTGCAGCAGTGCGGCCCCCCCGGAGCACCGTTTGCCTGGCAGACTGACTCAGTGAGTAGCAGAACGTCGGCCCCCGGACTGAAAATGTTCGATATTCAGAGAGTAAGGGGGCTCCGAGCCTCGGAGGGAACAAGTAACCACCGCCAAGCCTTGTCGCCTTGGTAAACATATTCCGACAAAACTTCTCGCGAGTTAGCAGCCTCGGCCCTGACTCTGAGATAACTCGGAACTTGGGGAAGGAGAATGTAACTTATGTGATGGCGACTGATCAACACTGTGATCGGATTCGATCCCAGGCACTTGAGTATCAAATATGCCTGTTGAATTATTACAAACCAGGTTAACTTTCAGTACAAATGTTTACTCAACGGTCTAACGACATTCTATTTCGGGCTACTCCCACTACCAGGCAGAATGAACGTGGAGTACCAGTTTGGGGGTCAGATTGGTCCTGGGGGGAACATCTGTCCTCCAGCCGATGTCCTGGTACAAAATATAACTATGATTTATATAATACAGTACCAGTATTTCATAATGCCTGCAACTGTGGTACAAACGAGTTTTAGGACCGAGGAAATAAAAGCCCACGGACGACAAACCCAGGCACCGCAAGATGGTAAGCGATCATTGGGGAGCGACTCGATGAATGTATCCCTGCTGTACTCGCTTGTGCCTGCTCTCCCTCCCTGCTTGTGTAAATCTCACTATTAACGTGCTATTCGCAGTTCTCCGACATCGCCAACGTCCAGACGCTCTTCGCCTCCAGGTGGCCCCTTACCACCATCACCGATGAAACTTCAAGCAAGGAGAGCGGTTACAACTACGACTACGTTGCTGATGGCAATGCCGGAGCTGTCTGGAACTACGGATCCGACTTCGGCGGAGGATCTGACAGTCCCAGCGATCACAAGATCTTCGGTAAGTTCGGAGTGACCGACAGTGCCTACAGCAACATCAAGCTCTGCCCTGGCACCGCCGGCGCCTCCTGCTCTGGATAAGCGTTGCCTACGTGCAAGTAATCGCGTTGGAAATGCGATGTGAACATGAATAAACGTGTTCTATTCTTATTCATACCCGATGAGTCAGCACCAATTCACCAAGTCAATCGAAGATCCGGTGTTTTCCCTTACACACGATTTGATGACTGACAGGGCCAAGCATGCACACAACAGTCAGAGAGATGCTACCACCCTTCCTCATCCTATGAACTCGTTGTCCCCTGAACCCATCATTTCGTCCTACACACGAAGATAGGATACGGCTTTCTAGCAGCTCTGCCCCTACAACATCAAATGTAAAATTTGTTTGCTTCTGCCTGGCAACAAGCCTCAATATCTATCAATCTACGTAGCCTTCTTGTCAAGTCCCAAAACTTCAACAATGCATTTGAATCCGTCCCCGTTCTGTTCTGCGTATGCAGAATGTCTGAGGTAATGCAGAAACTCATAAAATAGATCAGTCCCTCTTCCATCGAGTGTATTGCGCATATATTCTAATATCATCCCAATATCATTACATCATGTGAAGTGGGAAAAAGTACTGTCTCTCTATTTTCACCAGGCATGTGCTAAACTGGTTTTGACTCTGTGTGCTAAGAAGAGGAAGCTTGTTCTCAAAGCTTGGCTGGTCCCCAATGTCTGTTCTATACAACACCAGCTATCATTTCAATTCTTATTTGACAGACATCTGACATTCCAAAAGCCAGTGATGGCGGTCTCGATAGCACATCAACAGAACAAGCGTGCTATCAAGCTGCTTCGAGCTTTCAGCAGAGACGTTCTACTAGCGAGGGCCTCAGTAGGGCCTGATGATGCGAATCATGAATGATGGTGGATACGGCAGGAGAAGCTCGCGATCATAACAGGAAGTCAGATGTGTCTTGACCCAGGTAGCAGCCTTTGCCATCTGATAGGTACGGTAGGGATCATATCGGATCGACTGAGTTTAGTCTCCCCGCTTGTACAGTTTCCTAGGAAAAGCAGCCGCTGAGCCGGGACTTGTTGCGCCAGCTCAAGGCAAAGGTAAGCCAGACTCTTGTGAGCCCAGTGATGATCGCGTGACTCTGCTGAAGCAACCGGTCCCGGCCCGGCGGAACTTATTGAAAAGTTCGGAACTTATTGAAAAGTTCGGAACTTTACAACCTCACTCACTGACCGACTCGTCACTGAAGTGACTCCGGGCGCGGCAGATCTATCTATCATAGAGTCTGGCTACGGTAGACCCGTGCTGTCTTTTGATCTGCTCCTATGTAATAGATGGGGCGGGCCCATCTACACCTTCCGGGATCCGGCCTGGCCATGGCGATGGTGGAAATTGCGCGATGGTGGAGGTGAGAGAAGAACCGAGAGGAGAGGAAGAGAGGGTTCAAGAAGATGAGCACTGATATCAGAGTGTAGAGAATTCAAGAAGAGAAAGCACTGATATCAGAATGTAGAGGAAGGGAATGAGTTGCTACTGCTGTTGATGTTGTTTTGTTTGGTTGCCCTCGACCGCTGTTAAACTTGCAGCAGGCAGAAGCAGAGAAGTGATCCTCAGGTCTCGTCAAGACTCTTGTCACCATGCGTTCTGCAAGCCAAACCTCGCACACAGCTGGTGCAGGTCTCAAGGACGAGAGAGTGCGTCTCGTGGATGAGGAAGAGAATCGCCGAGCTCGAGGAGGAGATCGCCGCGAGCTCTAGGAAACCGTCGCTGACTGACTTGCTGGGCTTGTTGGGGTCCTTCCAGTTTCTTTGCGGGGACCTGACGGAGGCGAAGCTCTCATATACGCGAGCAGTAAGCCTGGAAGAAAAGGCGCTGGGAGGAGGCCTGGGAGGACGCAAGTTTGCAGCAGCACTAGCGAGAGTGACGAGACAGATAGAGGCAGATCAAACTGTGGCATCCGTTCGACCAAGTTCGGAGGTCTTCAGCGAGGAGCCCTTGGTCTTGCAAAACATCGAAAGGCGAGACGGAACGAAACTTGGCTACATAGAGTTCATGAGCGAGTACGCGGACAAGGGAGTTCCGGTGTGGCGAAGAAAAAGACATAGATCGCAGCTGACACTGTGCGATGTTGCTCAGGTCATTCTCACAGGATTGTTTGAAGCCGGCATGTTTGTGAGGGGCGCCTGGAGTTTCGACAGGCTGCAAGAGGAACTGGGCAACAAGCTGATTGTTCCTCGGCGGCGAGTGGTGAGAAGGAGAAGGGAGGGAAATCAGTGAGGGGGGTGACAACCTGCAGGAGGATTCACCCGATTGGGCTCATCTCGAAGACTCGCAGCAGACTTCATTGTCAGAATTCTTAGAGAAAATCTCTGCAAGCAGCTGCGGTAGAGCAGCCCAGGTTTCAGAGGAGCAGACGGATTGATGTTGGAGGAGCAGAAGATTACATCTTCGACTGGAATCTTCCCGGAAATGCGCCAGACCTCGTCGATGAGTTGGTGCGTTTGTCGTAACTTGTTCGAATGCACTTCTCATGCATTCGTAACAATTAGCGGATTCCAAAGTTCTTTAGTGGAGATTTGCTTCAGGTAGTCTGCCGCTGATACCTTTCATTGCGATTCGAATCGTTTGTTTGCTTCCTAGCATCTGCCAGAAGGATCGCTGTACAGGGAGGCATGGCCATCGTTGTTCATCGGGCCGAAAGGTGATGATGATTCTGAATGTGGTGATGGTGATACATGGCGATGATCGCGATTATAATGATGAGGGCGATAGAGGGGAGAAGGATGAGGACGAAAGCATCCGTCCTCTCGTACTGCTCATTCAAGGCAGTTGATTGTTTTTCCTCCGCAGGAAGCAGATCTGGGCTTCATATCGATGCTTTCGGCAGGTGACTTGTCCTCCTCCTCGACTCATCTCAGGCCTCGAGACCCTCAGCAATTTCTGGATGGCGATGCTGCAAGGGCAAAAGGAGTGGACCATCTTCAATCGTGAGGACGCCAGTCTTCTCGGACCATCGTACCAGGTACGAGGAGGGAGGGGAGCCGAGGCCTGACGGATCTATTGTAAGATCTCGTTGGACCCCACGTTTGCAGCTGAGAGGGACCTCGCTCATGCTCCCACGGGGACTTCGGTGCGTCGTGTAGGTTGAACATGACAAGGAGTCTCTTAAACCAGGTGCCAGGAGCCCAGAAAGCATGCTCTTTGGCGAGCAAGGGGCTGGCGATCTCTGCTCAGTGCAGGAGAGGTTACAAGATTGTGTCAAGGTTTCTCCTCCCACTCCTCCTGGCAGGTACTTTTCGTGCCTGCAGGGAGCCCACATGCAGTGAACAACGTAACGGCGACGCTTGCTATCTCTGCCAACTACATTGACACCTCCAACCTGGAAAGGTGCAGCTGCAACTTCCATCCACATAGAGTTTCACATGCACACAGAGCACTGGAAGAGCTTGACCTGATAGCTGCCGAAGATCCACGTATCATGTGCTTGCTGTGATGGGCGATTGATTTGACTTTCATCCATGTGTAGGAGCTGTGTGCGTTCTGGAGCACCTAAGTCGATTTCGAGGCGGGAAACACGATCATGAGCATGAGAAGCAGCTCTTTGCATCATGGTCAGAATTCAAGAGATCTCAGAGCAAGAAGAGCCGAAATGGTCCGCTAGGAAGTACAACTGACTGACACACTTCCTACCCCAAAAGATTTCTAGCACACTTCGTATCACAAAAATCAGTCTACACATCCGCTCCGTCACGTCATGGCGAATAATTTGTGCAAGTTATTGGAGAGCTACTTTACAAAGTTCAGCATCACAGGATATCCCATCTCACTAGAAGCTTTTGGTGGCGGATAGTCAGGCCAAACTTTTCGAACCTGCCCAACGAGTGAGAAAAGTGATCGAACGAGACCAGGAACGGCATAGAGAGGTTGCAGCCGTTAAGTGAGAAGCAAGAGAAGTTGTAGGAAGTGTAGCAGTGAGAGGGAGCAAGACAGACGTTGGTCTTACCAACGTGGGATCATCAAGCAGATCGTCTTCGGGCAACCAGATTGCAGGAGAGTCTGGGCCGTAGTTGATGGGTCCAGGAAATGGACAATTCCACCTGAATGATTGAAGTCAGCGAGCGTACAGAGCAGAAGATACAAGACTGCACCTGTGCTCTTCCTGGCACTGCTCGCCGATAATGGCAAGTGGACTGGGATCAGCGTACGCTTCCGGCGAGGTATCGACTCCGCCATAACCGCAATGAGGGTCATCCGGAGGGCACACCAACATCTGATCTCGGTCAGCGAAACGATGACGGCGAGACGTGATCGACCGTGAGAGGAACAAGAACTTGTCTGCCTCGCCGCATGTTCGGCCTCGCCCTCACCAGCCACATGGGCTTGGCAAGCTCATACTGTATGAGGGCTGTCTGCTTGAAGGAAAGAACAAGCAGGTAAGCAAGAGATCACGCCCGTCCCCTTCCTCTCTCACCTTGGACTTGCGCCATGAGGACGAAGTTATCGCTACCAGCACAAGCACACCCGCCGCCATCGCCAGACACCTCGCTACCCATGTCGCATCTGTGACCATTCGCATGTTGCCCTCCTCCGATCATCCTGTGTAGTCTAACCCCACCCTTGACACTCCCCACCCCTTTGCTTTTGAATACCCCCTGGATCACCCAATCGTCACATATGAAGAAAGGGGTGATATGAGTCTAGGGTACCTGTACACCCCCTCCAGAAATAATCATCACCCCTCCCTTCCCCGTCCTTTTCGCCCTCCTCCCCCCACTGACCTTTTAACGGCTGCTGCATCGCATCATGGCGGCGATGGCGGAGGAGCTCAAGAAGCGGGTGGAGGAAGAGAGGTGAGGGAGGGGACAGGCGGAAGAGCGACGACATGAGGAGAGAAAGCGGCGCAAGGGAGCATCAAGGGAGGAGGGTATCAAGTTTCAGCTCTGACACGCTTCGAGCAGCATTGATGATCGAGAGTTTCTGGCGGAGAAGGTGTATCCGCGACTCATGCCTGTGCTGATAGAGGTGATAGCACAAGACGCGCGTAGAGGCCCTGATGCCTTCACAGCTTTGTCAGCGAGTTGAGCACAAGGAAAACTTCGACAGCTTGCAGGCGGAGAAGGAGGGAGGGGAGAGAGGGGCAGGCTTCAACCCGATCCGATGGCTGGCAGGTGGGTCAGAGGGAGGGTAAGGAAGGTGATGAGATCACTGACGAGGCTGAAGAGCACCTCATGAGAAATCGTCGCTCCTCCATCATGGCAGACAACCAAGAATACATGGAGAGCTTGCAGAGGTGCTGCATGCAAGTCAGGCGCTGCTGATTAAGTTACAGGGATGCAGAGAAGATCCGAGAGAAACGAGAGCGACTGGAGGCGGTTGCGAGGGAGAAGCGAGCACTTGAAGAAGAGGAGAGCCGGTGCTCTTGCTTTCTTGCGTGTATGCAGGTTTCATGGTGCTGTGCAGCAAACAAGAAGATGAACGGAACATGGCGGCAGAGAATGAAAGGAGAGAGCTGGAAGCCAAGCTGAAGTCGCAGGTTTGGCCGAGGAGGAGCGTTGCTGTTCCTCAAGCAGGGGTGCAGGCAGAGAAAGAAGAGGAGGAGTGGAACAAGAGCGTCTTGTCGGGAGTGAAGAGCGCTGCAGGAGTGAAGTACCAAGACGAGGCCCTGAGGTCTTCTCCTCCTCTCCTCTCTTCTCCTCCTCCCTTCTCCTGCTCTCCTCTCTCCTCCTCCTCTACTCTGCTCTCCTCTTGTGTTGTCCTGCCATGTCCTGTCCTGTCCTGTCCTGTCCTCCTCTTATTCTGCTCACTCGGTTCACTCTTTGTCCAGCCTCTCAGAAAGCATACATCAGCTCGTCTCGTCCACGAGCTTCAGTACTGGTTGGCGCTGGCGGTTGCGGCCCCTGACCTGCTGCAGATTCAATGGAGGAATTGCGTCATACGCAGGAGACGATGCTCAAGGAGATCTGTGCGTTCTTGGTCAAGCGAACCAACGCCTCCTTCGTTGCTGTGCTTTCTCAGCTCGTCCGATCGTTTCATGATGCTGTTCCGCAGGTGGCACGCCTAGAGGATAGCGACACCCTACACTACAAGGTTGCAGCGGACAAGAAGGACGTCATCGTTGATCATGACGGTGCTGCTGTGCTGCTGCTGGTGGTGGTGGTGATGGTGGTGGTGATGATGATGATGATGATGGATGTGAAGGGTTGTGTGCATTATGGGAGCTGATGACAGTCTTGTGATGTGTTTCTTGTGTTTCAGAGGACGGGAACGAGGAGAATGTCGAACACAAGGAGGCTCCTCAACCTGAGATCACCGTCCGAAATCTCCCGCCCATGGACGACGACATGGCCTACGTGTTGAGAAGGGTGAGGAGAGGAGGGATGAGCGACGTCGGAGTGAGGAGTGAGCAGGGGAACGGGATCACCTTCGAGAGGGTCGTCGACCTCAACAAGGGCCTCTGCGTGACCGACGTGAAGTTTGTAGAGGGCATGTTCTTCTTCGACCAGAAGCGGCAGGGGACGTACCTTGCTGTTCCCATCCGAAGCGGCAAGAAGGTCGTCGGCATCATCAGCGCAGACACTCTCGACTCTCTCATCGAGGCCGAGCTGAAAGACTTTGAGATCCCTCAGTGAGCGGAACGATGAGAGTAACGCCTGTGAGCTGACGGCCGCGCCTTAGGTTCATGTCAGCAGCTTTCATCCTCTCCGCCTTCATGGAGCGATCGGAGCTTTTGTACAGAAATCAAATCTTGAAGAGAAGGAAGGAGAGTCTGACTGTCATGTCGAAACGAGCAAACACGCTACCTGATGACATGGCGCAAGAGATTGTCAGCTCCATACAGGAGATGCTTCCTGCCTGCTCTTGTTGTGTCGGAGTCTGCAACTTGACATCTCAGATCCTCGTCTTGAGCTCGTCGGGTCCCTCATGGCAAGGGACTTGCAACGGAGTGGTCGACGAGACGAAAGAGGAGCACGGGCTGATGATGAAAGCTGTTGCCAGCAAGCTCCTGGTGAGCTCTGCCGTGAGCTGTTGACATCTGACGGTCCGCCAGGAGGTGAAGACGCGGGAGGAGAGCGTCGAAGAAGTTGCGATTCCCATCCTCGACGAGCAGAAAGTCACCGCGGTCGTCCACGTCAAGAGCGCGCCAGGCTCGAGCATCCCGCAGTTCTTGATCGACTTTCAGACGAGCATGAGCAGCGTCGTCGCCTCGGTCCTCCTGTCCCCTGCTAGGAGCGCCAAGCGAGTGCTCAGCATCATCGCAGCAGCTGCGGTAGGAGACCCCAAGAACCTGTTCCAGCATGCCGCCGCCATCTGTCGCTGGCACTCGTCTTCATCTTCCATCAAGATCGTCGCGAAGCATGGCCCCGACTCGCTCAGGATCTTGTTCGAGGAAGAGGAGACTGACAGCAACGTCATCGAGCGATCGAGCATCCCAGCCTGCGAGGAGGCGACCAGGTCTCGAGCTGTCAGCTTCGACGGGACCTCCGTTGTTGTGCCTCTCATGCACAAGGAGGATGATCGAACCCCCTATGGGCTGATCTTGGCCAAGACCAGCAGCGTGAGCGAGGAGCAGATGAGCATCCTGGAGGCGATAGGAAGCGCCTTGAGCGACGCCTTCGAGGTGGAGTCGCTTCTCGTGTTCGTCCCTCACCCTCCTCCAGGTTGTTGAGTTTCGCCGTAAGATGAGCATCGCCAGCGTCACCGCGCTCGAGGCTCTGCTCAAGAAGCTGCCCAAGCTCCGAGGCGCTTGCCTCTCCTTCCCCGACAGCTGCGGCTTCAACATCGTCGCCCGCGTTCTCGGCAGCTTCTCTCACCCGGTGGTGGTGGGGGAGCGTCTGCAGAACTTCAAGGCGTTTCAGAAGGTGGCGGTGGCGCGCGAGGGCTGTGCTGCTGTCGGAAACATCTTGGTGGCTGGGGAGGAGCTGGAGCAGACGCAAGTGAACTTCCACGAGGAGACTCCGCTCGTGACGCTCAGCAGCTTCGCCGACATCCTGTGCACGGTGGCGGAGAGAATCCGATGGGAGAAGATGAGGGTCGATCGGACAGACGCGGAGCTGAGGGAGGGGGAGGAGATGCTGCTGCAGCACTTCAACGTGTGCAGGTTCGACATGCAGACCGAGCGCGCGATCCAAGACATCGGCATGATCTACATCGATAATATCAGAGAGTCTCTCCACCCCAATGAGCTCGGCGCTTGCATCTTCCAGGCGATCATGTACATCCTGGGGCACCAGCAGCGAGACGTGTCGCAATGGAAGCGCTGCAGGAAGCTCATCACTCACCATCTCTTCAAGGAGATGAAGATGATCGACATCCGCGCGCCTCTCACTGTCCACAAGCTCAAACTGGCGCGCGAGAGAATCTCCGCTCTCTCCGCCGCTGACATCGCCATGGAGGCAGGGCCACATGCGCTGCAGCTGTGGAAGTGGGTGCTGATGATTCTAGAAATACAAGGGGTGGAATAGAAAGTTTATCATTGTACATGAGATCACGAGGAGAAAGAGAACTGGCTGGGAGGGAGGGAGGAAGGGAGAGAGAGGGAGGAGGAGGAGGAGGAGGAGAAGGCCTTGGCTCATTCCACGAGCATCAAGCTTGCAGCAGGTCGAAGTCGTCGACTGCGTCGTTGTACTTCATCACCTTCCTGCGGATCTTGGAGGAGTCAACCCAAGTGATGAAGTCCTCCATCGATCGCGTGACATGGAAGGCTGGATCCGTGACAACCTCGGGCCCTGCCACCATCATCGTCATCGTCATCATCCTTACACAGCACAACACCATCGTCAAGAAACGTCAAGGGCTCCAAAGGATCAATTAGAAGTAAATAAGATGTTGTTTTCAGATGCGCATCAAATTCCCAGATGTCGTCATCGCCCTTACAGCAAGCATCGTCACTATCATGTATGAAATCTCACCTATCCTAATGTGCCCCTGCTCCACGAACGTGACCGCCTCTTTGAGATTCTCACAGAACTTGAGCCGGACCAGCACCACTGGCAGCCTCCTTCGGCAGAAAGCTGAAGTAGGAATCTTCTCGCACTGAAGGAGACTCTTCTTAGTCGAGATCAGCCCCATGTTGTAAAGTTTGTCGATCAGAAGTTCGGTAGTCTTCACTCTAGTTGGGTCCTTGACATACACTTCAGAATCTTGGGACATGTTCGACACGACTTACATCTTGCCGGAGCTCTTTCAGTTTCGAGGTCAGCTTCGTGATCAACCCCGCAATCTTGTTGTACTTGTGATAATCGTCTCTATTCTGTACACGATATCTTCGCAGGATCTGGATCTCTCGAACATTCTTGTCGCTCTTCCACTGAAAGAAGTTGACTTTCTTGAGAAGCTTCTCCTCGTGATACTTCAACTGGCGCATGTCTCACTCTGCAGATGTTGTCACAAACAGAAAAACAACTCTCCGGAGAAAAGTTGGTGCACTGATCGTTCACCACTATGAAATGACGTGTGTCTGCTGATCCCTTTGCACTCTCAACCCTTCTCCTCGTGTTATCGAATCTTTGCCCACATCATCGGCTTGGCTAACTTTCCATAACCTTCACCTTCCTGTTCTTCTCCTCCTCTTCCTTCTGTCTCCTCTTCCCTCTCCCTCCCCCAAGCCATGCACGTGAAGCGGTGAGAATGAGTAACAAGGGACCCCTTAGTCATACTCAAGTTCTACATGGTAGGGGTAGTGACCCGTACCCTCAAATCAGATGGCTGCAATGTGGGTGATGGAAAGTCTACCACCGGTGCAATACCCTAAGGGAAAGGGTAGTCGGGGGGGGGTCCTGAAAAACATTGCCAGGGGGTATGGAAATTATGGAAGGAGGAGCAAAGTTGGGGAATGGGCAAAGAAGGCGCGATGGGGGAGATGAGAGTTGTATCGAGAGAGACCATGTGAAGACAGAGAGTATGGGGAACATGAGAGACGTCAAAGTTTGCAAGCAGACTTGATTTCATGCAGTTCGACTGATTCTTGTTTGAACAGTAAGTCGTATGGTCTTCATATGAAACAAACGGGTGCAATAGAGGGGCAAGGAGACGAAGATTTTCTTGACCGTGTAGCGTATCAAGTGTGCTGGGAGCTACTGAAGTTGGATAGGGTAAGCATTTATATTGACACCGCACAACCTTGAACAACGCCGGATGGCAGGACGACGCCGGAGAAGGAATAGAATCCTCAAAGAATTCGCTGAGGAGCAGGAGGAGAGTGGCCAGAAAAGAGACATCAAAGGATGACCAAGACAATATGCAGTATCTGAACAGGGCCAAAGCGAATCGATCGTCGAAGCGCAAAGTCTCTCTCCCAGTCCTTTGTGCATATTTTGCTTTCGTTGCCTGCACTCTACTTCTTCTCGCCTTGTAACTCTTGCGATGACGATCTCGACTGCGTTGAACCGATGATTCTTGCAGCTTAGGCGTGGGACGAGTCACGGCCTCTGATTCCACCTCTGCTTCTCTGAGACCCGGATACACTGATCAACCCATGTCCAAGGCAACAGCAGCTGGAAGCCACAACAATATAAGTAGTTTCTCCTTCGAAGTCTTCGGCAAAGTGCAGGGAGTTTTTTTCAGGTCAGCTGTGTGACCACAAGTCTCTTCTCAACGTCGCTGCAGGAAGTATACTCAGAAGAAAGCTCTAGAGCTACATCTCACGGGTTGGGTTGCCAACACTGAAAGAGGAACAGTAGTCGGAGAGGTAAGATAGACTCCCCCTGGCGGTCCCTTGATAGATGAAAGGCTGAAGGAAGCCCGTCCAAGTTGCGAATCATGGAGGAATGGCTACGTGCGTCATCCGATGCTCCCTCTCCTTGCGGCGCCCACTGAGAACGCGGCAGGAACCACGGGCAGCCCCAAGTCAAAGATCGAGAAACTCGAGGTTAAGGATCGGAAGCAGCTGAACGAGCATCAGCACAAGAGTTTCGATGTTCGGCATTGATCGCCTGGCAAGGCTCTGATCGGGTACCTCAGACTGCGGCAGAGGCTCTGATCGGGGCTCGAATCTTCTTAATTGACTGAAAATATCGATGACATCCAGAACAAGGTCAGCTACCACCAACATGTGCTCAGAGACAGTTAAAATGATCTGAAAAATCTAACGCTCAACGATCTTGAGAGCATGAAATATATCACAGCCAAACTCGAAAAGGACATCATGCGCACCACCAAAACGATCAGAACACTGAAACAAGAGATTCTGATGCATATGCCGCCGATCATTATGTTCATGCTGCACTTCCATCTCTTCTTGATCGGACTGTGCTGTATGGTAATTGTTCGTCTGTCAATGGTAACCATCGCTTTCTACCTAGACCATTCAAAAGTGCAGATCGTTAAAGACTATACATGTGATCCAAGTAAAGCGGACGGCAAAGTCAAAACCTGGGTCTTGAAAAAGCAGCAACCGTTAACCTTGCAGGATTTGACAGATCGTTTCTTTGTTGTATCAGTGGTCACATCGCTGGTGCAGACGTTGATTTTATGCCAGTACAGCTCTGTTCTCTCCATGCTCGTTACCATACTCGATTTTGTGATCATCACGTTGGATAATGGAATTGCAGAACACACCGCATAACCAGGGAGGTATTGTCTACATCCTGAAATCGTGCTAGTACTTTTTCAGCTTCACAAATTCGGAGCCTGGGAGACTCGGTGAAACGAGCTGCTGGCTGACCTTCATGCGCAACCGCCGTCACGGTGATTCTCTTCAGCGAACCGTACTCGTAGTACCATACAGTACGGCCGGGCCGGAGCGATGGACAGGGGGCGCGGAGGCAGCCTGACCTGCCGCAGTCTGAGGTACCGTAAAACCCGATCAGAGCCTCTGCCGCAGTCCCTTTTACTCAAAGTTAAGTCAAAAATCATTAGGAGCAGCCTGGCATGCAGCCAGGCTGGTAGTAGTGCCGGTGAGGGCCCGGTTGGAGTCACGTGGCCTCGGACTAGTACAGATACCAATATTGAAACCGTTGAACCGCATCCGTTACGTCTTGAGTGTACCATGAAAATAAAAAACTGTCACTCACCAACTATGAAGAAAAACTGCCACATCAAGTAAAGTGGTCACCTAGTACTACTAGTACCCCGACTTTACCGGGGGGGCAACCCTCGGTACAACAACCCTCTTAGTTACGCAACGAGTGGTACTGGTAGTAACCACCCCTCCTCCTCTGCCCCCCGCCGCCGAGTGGTACTGGTAGTAACCACCCCTCCTTCCCTCCCCACCCCATCGCTCGATATCTTTTTAGCATTAGACCACCTTGCTGACATCTCCAAAATTCAAATCTCTCCCTTTCGACCCAGATCATCGAGCCAATGCGACCTCCCTGATGTCAGCGAGGCGTCGGAGGCACCCCCGGAATTACTGAAAACTTGGGGAGCGAGAGGGGTAGAGGGAAAGGGGGTCAGTCTAAGGAGCAAACCCGTCAGGAGCAAAGCATGAAAGTAACATTTATTCAGAGGACAGTACCTTCTTCCTCTCCTCTCCCCTCCGGCCTCTCCTCTCCTTCCATCCCATCTCATCCCCTCTTCTTGTCATCCTCTCTCCTCCGTTATCTCTCCTCCCTTTCATTCTTTCCTCCTCCCTTTGGTCGTCTGAATACTCTCCTGTTCTACATCTTATCTACTTGCTATTTGCTCAATGATGAAGTTCAACGGAAGCAGCAACTGTGCAAACGCAAAGGTCGATGCTTGGCTCAAGGCCCACTGCCAGGATTCGAGCACAAACCCGAATCTCAAACCGAAAATGCGGAAGCGTTCTTCAAAAAAGAAACACAGAGCACTCCAACAGCATCAAGAAGCAAGCAAGAATCTTGAAGGCGCCAAGCAAGATCTTTCCAACCTATTCCCCGATGATTTAGGGTTTCACTCGTGGAGTAACACCATCTTTGAGCGCTCCATGTCGTCTGACAGCAGCATGACCCAACAATCCAGCACATCTTCTGGCCTTGAACTGAGTGGTCTCATGGATGCTTTTGGAGAATTCGTTGATTACTTCGGAACATTTCAGATCTCAAAAATCTTTGAAGATGAAGAGCCGTTGGCTTCATCCAGTCCCCGTCATCAATACCGCGGTGACTGGGAAGAGACATCAGACTTTTCGTGCTCTGGCAGCCGATTTCCGTCGAGATCCCATCGAAGATCCCTCCTTGTTGATTTCATCTGATCCTTCCATGTCATGTCTATGAATATGCTAGGACAGACATTGGATAGTAATGCCTATGTACGTATTGTTTTCTGCCGTAATTGCACATGTCTTCACAACGAAAGATTGGCATGAGTTTTGATAAAACATTGTTTCAATAGTCAATAGCTAAAGAGGAAAGACCCTGTTGAGGTTTTTCTTGTGCTTCAACTGTTTTGAATAAAGCAAATGAAGAATATCTAGACCCATTCAAACACAATTAATTTTATATTGGACACAACCAATCAATACGCTCAATCGTTCATGTTTCAATTTGCTGTACACTTGAAGAAGAAATCAAGTCAGGACGATTACATTCCGATCGTACGTGCGAAAAAGTGACAAGTTCAGTAAGGGCAGTAGCGACATCACAATACACCTGGCATTTCTATTCGACTCACTTCATTATCACATTTATCACACGCACACAATGCTTTAGCCTCTCCCGGCCTGATATGATTGTCTTGGACTGATACGGCTTGTTCGGCTTCCCTTCTCGCTCATCGCTCTTAAAATCTTGGATTGAAGCAGATGATTGCATATTGCATCACATGGTCCCAGAGTGGATGCAATAATCACCATCCAACAAGTGGAAGCCTCTTCTGCTCGGAAGTTGATCCTTCCAATGCCTCAACGAATTCTTCTTCTTCCGATGCTGCACCACTCGTGACAAAGAGGTGCATGCCAGCAGGAAACAAAGAAGCTCCGAGTCATCTCTGAGGATGGGGAGTGCGAGGAAGTTTGCTGGGCGAGAGAAGGGAGACAGAACATCGCGATCTGAGGAACCAGGAGAAGCTGATCAACGTTGGAAGTTTGTTTTACCATAAACGAGTCCAGCCATCATGGCATACCAGCGGCAAAGAGCAGTAGCGCTGAAACAAGCGAGGACGCAGACGATGAAACCCAGGGTCCCCATACACCGCCTCCTGAGCGCATACATCCCACTCAGCTGCCTTTGTGATCCGCTCTAAGTGATCCGGCAGGTACCAGAGAACCCGCAACATGGCAACTTAGTGTCAGCATGACGAAAACGGTCGGACCATCGACCATCGACCATCCGTACTGGAAGCTTAAAAGGCTTTCGGCGGGTGGAGGGGGAGTGACTGCCATAGCTCGCGTCTCATGATGATCTTCTGTTGCGTCGGTTCGGAGAGCGCAGAAAGGCCAACGGGGCTGCCGCTACCCTGGCAAGATACTGTACGGTCAACTGATCGATCCGCTGTCCTGCATTTCAAGTCATTGTCGCGGGGCAAGCAGCGTAGGAATATTTTGCTGCCTTTCCAAAAGCTAATAAATTAGCTGAGGCGGGTGGGTCCACACTAAGAAGACATGAAGTAAAGAGAATTAAAGCACTCTTGCCCGACACAATGGAAGCAGGGTGATGAGGGAGCCAAAGGTGTCATGGCAGGGAGCGAAGGCTGGGCGAAGGAGCTCCATGCATGCATGATCATAAGTGGTAGACAGAAACACGAGCAGAAGGGATCCCTACGAGCACCTCTCGTCCGTGATGTCCCGTTCGCATGTCCTCAGTGTACTTGACGGGTTCAACATCCATGGCATCAACCTGCTGATCTTATGCATCATTCTGTCAAGAGCAGCAGCAGCAACGAGTGCTGAAGGGAAACACTTCGCTCTGTTTTTTCATCCGCCCCCAGGATTCTGCTTTCCTAACAGCCAACAGGTTTACTTGGCGACTTCGATCTCGGATGGCCTGTGATTTCTGCTGTTGGCCTCATGGGGACCTCACGGCTCTTCTTCAGGTTTCTAAGGGATGACGTCCGAGAGCATGGCCTCCGCATGCGCCTCGTCATCAATGACCAGGAGGTGGCGGATGTGACGTGGCGACCAAACGCGGGCATGGAGTCGGATGAAGGGATTAGCCACCACTTCCATGTTCTCATGGCACGGTGGGGTGTGGGGCTATCTAACGATGTGAAAGGTTCCAGGATTAGAAGACGGGGAGTATGAGGCTACGTTCCTTCTGATCAGCCTGGTAAGGCGCGAGCTTGAATGGAGTGTGACAGTCCTCAAGTGATGACAGGGGACCGGCAAGCAAGTTGGGCAGGAGGCGACGACACTCTTTGTTGTCGAGGAGGCCACAAATTGCACAGAAACATACGGACAGTATCAAAGTCTTCATGCTGTGCCTTCGCAGCAGGACAGCGGCAAGGTCGGAGGAGGAGCGATTTTGAGTCTTAAAGCTGATTGCGTGTCAAGGTCTTGCTCAACGTTGCGAGAAACAAGAGTTCCTGGATGTCTTGTGAAGCCCCGGGGCGAGAAGCCAAGCATGCCAACGACGGGGTGACATGTCTACTGCAGTGAGATGGTTGACGAGCAAGAGACGCAGAGCATGATGGTCAGCCAAGTGATCGACTGGCGAGCCGAAACTTGCAACGGCAAGAGGACTGAGCACGGAGTGTGGTGGGAGGTCGACCTAGGAGAGAGCACAGAGATTGAGCTGATAGACGTGCGCCTTTGCTCCTCCGTCTCGATCGCCTGAGAGCGTTTGCTGGGGCAGATTCTGGAGGGGCAGCGACCGGCTGCGAGGGGATCGTATCCTCCCATCCTGGCTGCCGTGCAGCCGCTCCTGCCCCTGCGAGTCTCTATTCTGGTGGAGAGAGCCAGCTGCTATTCCAGCTGACCTGATCCCCGCAGAGCTCAGACTGGTCTGAGGTGAAAACTCAGACGTTGGACGCACAAACTCTGAAGGAGGAACTTTCTGCGTCGGTCAGTGCGGTGGATGCTTGTGGATGGGAAATGTGCTGGTGGTAGCAGTTGTGAGGCTTGCATGTTGGAGGACAGTGGGAGGAGGCAGGAGGCAGGAGGCAGGAGGCAGGAGGCAGGAGGCAGGAGGCAGGAGGCAGGAGGCAGGAGGCGGATTTCGTCTTCTCAGTGTTTCTCAGGGTGGTAGAGGGATTTTCTCTTGGTTGGGTGTCTCAGCGACTGGTCGATATGTGCGCCTGGAGGCTTTGGAGGCAGAGGGCATGGTAGAGGAGAGAATCTTGTCCCTACTCGAGGTCTGCTCTGTCAACAGCGTCTCCCTCCTCTGATCATGTTGGGCAGGTGGCAGTCTTCAGCTCTGTGCGGTGGAACTGTTCCCGACACTGTCCTCCTCAGTTTGGCTCTTGTCCTCCAACGGATCCCGTCCTCGGGCAGTGCGTGTGCAAGCCCAACAGGATCGGCATCGACTGCTCGACTCACCTCCTAACGGACCATCTTTTTCTACCTCCCTATCGACATCCGCAGGACAGTGAGGATCAAGTCAACTTCAGCTGGTTGCCGACGGCCCGTCCTCTGATAATCTTTGACACCCCTTCTGTGTCAGGCTGCAAGCATCAGCATGGGACCACCAGGAGTTTGAGGAAGCTCTGAGGGAGGTCGCAGCTTCTCAGGTGCCTTGAGACTCTCAGTTGCCTGCCAACTTTCACCCCTCGCCTGCTGACGTCAGCTTCTCCAGGGCTCAGGATCCTGCACTGCTCCTGCTGCTCTTGTCATGGGGTACCATCCAGGTGCTCGTCCTTGCCTTGAGTTGACCGCTGAGCCATCGGAGAGCAGGAGGGCTGACGGCATCCCTGAGCCTGATCGCCTCGATGCTGTCCTTGTCCTTCGCTCTCAACAAGAAGATGCTCCTGTGGAGGAAAGCTGAGGTGAGATCTCCTCTTCATCCTCCGTCCGGTCGAGTCAAATCTGACACCATCTAAGTGGTTTTATGCGGATCCTGGTGAATGTCCAGACAAACAGATGTCATGTTACTTCGATAGGTCTCATCCTCCCTTCCTCCCTCGCTCTCGCTCACGCTCTCCTTCTCCTTCCTGCTCTCCCTCCTCCCCCCCTCCCTCCCTCCCTCCCCCCCTCCCTCCCTCCCTCCTTGGTGAGACTAGTGATCGCAGCTGGAGCGATTGCTCACACCAAGACATCGATAACTTTCTCGAGGGAACGTTTCATCTCAAGGTCGATTGATCCTGACAGTCTTTGACCTCTTGACGGGAGGCAGGTGGAAGAGAGTGACAACACGCGCAGTGTCCAGCCCTTCGCCTGGGTCCCTCCCAAGTATCAGTCGAAGGTGCTACCAATGACTTTCGCTTTCATCCTGATGTATCCCAGGGGATCTTTTGGTGGAGGACGGTGCTCAACAGCTTTCTCTTCAGGATTCGACCTGTCTCGCGATCTCTTCCTCTACTTCACGTCCTCTCATCTCGTCCCTTCAGGAGCTCGCGCAGGAGCTCGACATCGACGGGATGATGAAGCGCCTGGGCCTGTTGGATGGACCTTTCATCGGAGTGCATGTCCGGCTGGTGAGAGACGTTGGAGTATCGTCCTTCTCCTCATTGTGGATGTCAGGGGGACTCGTGTGTCAAGTGGAAGGAGTTGTTCAACGGAGACTGCCTCTCTTTAGACGAGCACATTTCGCACACCAAGTCAGCTCCGCTCCTCTTCCTCACTCGTTTCTCTCACTCGCCTCAGGTTCCTCTCGGATAGATATCACGTCCAGAAAGTTTTCGTAGCGTCTGATGACCCGCACGCGCTCGATCACTTCAAGCAGAAGCTTCCAAGCCTACACGTGGTGGCTGTGGACAAATATCGAAGTCTGCTGGAGGAGATGGAAAAGACCAAGAACGAGTAGCAGCAAGACAAGCTCAAGCACCTCTATCCTCACTGCTGCTGCAGGTGGACGGAGAATCGGCTGAGGAAAGGAGAGCTTCCTCGCAGCCTGCTGCTTCGCTCCACCTTGACCGACTTGATCCTCCTCGCCAAGGCAGCCTTCTTTGTGGGGTACGACTCCCCCACCATGCGCGCGAGCGTGACGGAGTGACCGGCAGGCATATGGCCTCCAACCTATCGAGACTGGCCTACTCGCTCGCCGTCGCCATGTCGTCGGGTAGACTGATCCCCTTCCTGAGGTCTGACCTGCTGCTCAAGTCAAGTTGTCTGACAGTGTCCTCAGTGTTGACGGGCCCTGGTGTTATCACTGGCAACTCTGCTGTGACGTGGACGCGGACGGGCTGTCGCACATGTGCTCTTAGCTTCTCGCCTCCACCACCAACGTGTAGCCAGTCACTGGGATGAACAAGTAGAAACTCGTCCATCTACGGTCGATGCCCACCTTCAAGGCTTAGCCTGTGCTTTCTTTAGTTAGTCTACCTCTGTTTATGTACATATTTCAAGCCAGCCTCACCGAATCAATTACGAAGATACGAGGGCAGTTAGGGAACAGAGTAACGGCCGGTGAGTGTAGCTACCAGGGCATGGCCGGGAGAGAAGTTGAGGCTTGGGGGGGGAGGGAACAGCAAGGAAGGTGAGGGTATGCGAGCTCAAGACAAGATGAAGCGACGAGGGAGCCAGCAGGGGTCCAGCAGGTCGCTTGTCAAGAGACGAGGAAGCCTATACGTTGAACGAGGCAACGAGGTCTGGTCCTTCAACGAGCAGTTCCTTCAGTCGGCCTCCTGCAGACCGCTGAATCAGGAAGCAGAGGAAGAGGAGGACGGTAGTCTGAAGCAGTTGAAGATGAGGATGGACACAGCAGACATGCTTGAGGCGCATTCTTTGCTCTACCTTGTCATCAAGCGCCTCTTTGTTGTGTGCGCTGATACCCACAGCGATGCCGGTTGGATCTGTACGGACCCCAAGTACTGCGACATGCTGGCCCGCGCGGTCTTGGAGGAGTCTGACTGGGCGTCTCTCAAGCTCCTGCTGAGCGACCTCAAGTTCGTGTGGAAGCTGCTGCATGTGCAGGGATGCGCCCACGTCTTCTCCCTCCTGTCGCGGTCGCTCCTGGCCATGCAGCACGACAACATGCAGCGATCGCACGTGCAAGACTTCGCCGACTTCCTCATCAAGCACATGCAGCTCCTTGCCAAGGACGCAAGCATGCTATTCCAGATCGCCTCGACGACCAAGAAGGCAGGGGTCAAGCTCGCGTACGAGGTTCAGATCAGCAAGTGCCGAAGCATGATCGCCAGCTGGAAGAAGCGGATCCTCAAGAACCTTTCAGCTGGGAACAGGTGGCGCTCACGTGAGCGAAGACGCTCAGTGTTCTCGTCTCTAGAGAATCACAAGCTTCTGTTCGGGACCTCGGCGCTTTTGGACGTGAGGACGAGAATCCTGGACCTCCATAAGAGCGGCTTGTACGAGAGCTTCGAGTCGGAGCTGCAGGAGGACGTGGATCTGATCTACCGGATCGTCAACTATCGGATCCACTCAAACAAGAGCATCATGAAGCACCGGGGCATCCAGAGCTTCGAGGCTGAGAATCGAGAGCTCCTCTTGCTCGACAGCTCGGCGTTTTGCTTGCAAGACTCTCAAAACTTCCTCAAGTTTGTGTCACTGTGGACCGAGGCTGACTCCAACGAGTTTCTCACTTTTGACATGGCGATACCTGAGGCGATATTCCGAGACGACAAGAAGCGTCGCATGTTCTTCAAGGACGTCTGTTGTCAAGTCTCCGAGGTCGGGCTCATCCAGACGCCGCTCGTGGACCTAGTCTTCCAGCAGGAGTCTCACCTAGCTGAAGCTGAGCACGGGGTGCAGGGAAGAGCCATCATCAGCATACTGGAGCAAGTGACCATCCTAGAAGTGACGGTACTGCGAGCCAACAACCTGCCTGTCTCCGACAAGCTCTCCAAGTCCACGAGGTGTATCGGTCTGCAGCTCAAGAACAGCCCTCTGATGAAGAAGGATCAGCTTGGAATCCTCGCGCAAGAGGCGGCAGAGCACGTGCATGTGGCTGAGTTCCATTCGCTGGACTTCAAGAAGCTCTCGGACCCGCACTATGATCGACGCTTCGACCTGCTCATCTACGACGACAAGCAGGAGCTCCACCTGACCTGCTACGACGAGGACAAGAGCGGGCCCAAGGCTCTGTTGGGGGAGGTGACGCTAAGGGTGGAGGAGATCGTGTCGGAGTGCCGGGAGATGGAGCACGAGACAGTCTCTGCCTCCTTCCTCCTCAACAAGCCCGGCACTTACCGAGTGATCCACCACGAGCTCCTGGACGACCCGAGTCAGGTTGGGTACGCCCAGGTGTTTCTCAGCTTCCGCGTCTCTTCTCTTCAGTCGCACGTGCAGCCGGAAAAGGCAGCAAGAGAGGCGCTGAGTCACATTCGCTCGGGGACTTCGAGGCTGCGGCTGGGATACTCGCTCATGGGACACGCGTCGGACCTCTCCTCCTCCTGGCAGTCCATCGAGATCCACCTCCTCTGCAACCGGCAGGAGATGCTGGCTGAGCGCCTGCTGCTCGAGCGGTTTGTGTTCCCGTCACTGGCAGTGCGATGTCTCTCTCGCCGCGTGATCTTCCGCTCCTCGGAGGTGCGAGGCAACGAGGCGATCAAGTCTGTGAACCTCGAGGACTCTGCGACCGTCTCTAAGATCCTCCTCTGCCTCCTCGGCGAGAAACTCGATGAGCCTTGTGAGGCCGACAGCGACGAGTCAGCCCAAGACATGGACGAGGCGCCTGCTCGGTCGCTTGAGCGGCACATCCAAGGTGACTGAAGGGACGAGTGTATGAGTCTGACTTGCTGCCGCAGCCCTGGTGCTCAAGCAGACTGTCGACCCTCATTCTGTGATATGCCTCCGCGACCCCTCGTTCCTCGAGGAGCAAGACTTCATCCGCAACGTGTCGCAGCACATTCGCTTGCAGTACGTCGAGACGAGCAACGACGAGCGAGAGAGGATGATGAAGATCAAGCAGCAGCTTGTCCGTCGCTTCCCGAGGAACGTCATCTCCTACTCCCCTCGTTTCAGACGCTATCTCCCCCCAGCTCTTGCCGCCAGCTGGTCTGCTCCCGGCGGCTGCCTCGACCTGGCCGGGCTGGAGGAGATGGGCCTCAACATCTTCCGCGACCTGTGGCTGCAGATAAAGAAGAAGCATCCGCTCCCTTCCTCTCATGCCTCGCAAGCTGAGTCCCTGCTGGACAAGAGCAGTCAGGCAGCAAAGGTCAGCACCTACAAGGAGTCCATCGCCTCCTTCCCCCTCGACGGGTCCCAGCAGGCGATCTTGGAGCAGATGAAGAAGTTCGCAGACTTCATGAGCCCCTCGGACGCGCTCTCGCTCGTGCTCACGGGGCCGATGGGCTGCGGCAAGTCAACGGTCATGTCAAAGTTGATCGTTGACATGCAGATGGAAAGACGCCGGGAGAGTTTGCATGAGGCGCTTCAGAGCGCGTTCAGTGTAAAGAAGAAGAAACTCAAGTCTGCCGTCCAAGCGGTCATGGCGCTAAACCGCATGAACCTATTTGGGATGCAGACAGGCGGTGGTGCCCCAGAGGAGAAGAAGGAGCAGGAGCAGGAGCAGGAGCAGGAGCAGGAAGGAATGAAGGAATGGAACGGGAAGTGGAAAGGAAAGGAGTTGGAGAAGGTTATCAACTTCGTCGATGCTTGTCTGACACAGGGGAAGGGGATCGACGACATCGAGTTTCTGCTTCACAAGAGCATGATGATTTATTTTTTCAAGGCTCCCTCCTCCTCCTCCTCCTCTTCCTCCTCTTCCACGCCTTCCTCGTCCCTCTCCAGTATGCTCTCTTACCTCTGCTCGGCTCTTTTGAAGCGTCAGGATTGGACTAGCCCCAGCTGGGAGAGGCTGCGGGAGGTGCTGGGAATGGTGATCTCGAGGAGCAATGGGGATGGAGAGGCGGCAGGCAGCCCAGTCCTTCTCCTGCTGGACGGGATCAGCGCTGCAGAGGCTGTGCGGGTGAACGAGGTGGTGCAGGCGTTGGAAGGGAAGGTGCGGGCGATCATGACGGTGGAGGGATGCACGTACGGGGAGCTGAAGGAGCTCACGAGAAGGAGGGCGACGGTGACGAGCATCGCAGAGATGCAGGATGCTGAGAAGACCTCGATCATGCTGGGTCTGCTACGAAGAGCAGGACTATTCCGGTCCTTCAGGGGGAACGTGGATGTCCAGGGGTTGAAGACCCCCCTCCACCTCCAGCTCATGGTCAGCTATTGGTACATTTGCGACCTTTACAACGTGGAGCCCAAGTCGAAGAGGGAGCTGGGAATGTCAGAGCTGGACCTGCTGCTGGACGATTACTTCCCTCTGATGGAGAGGCACATCGATCCCCGGCAGCTCAGAGTCTTCTGGATGCTGATGATGCAGTTCTCAGCTGCCGGTAGCAACTACCAGCTGCATGACCTTCGGTTCATCCTCCAGCACTGCTGCTCAGGCTTCACTGAAGAGAGTTTCCGACGCCTCGTCGACTCCGTCCTCCCCCTCTGCGAGCAATCCTACCTCCGCTCTCACAACAGCATCAAGTTCGAGCGACGCTGCGTCGTCGAGGCCGTTCACCGGCGGTACCTCCAAGAGGCAGCGCCAGACCAGCAGCTGTCGATGAGGATGAGAGCACAAATGACAGCAGAGGAGCGAGAGAGCGAGAGAGCGAAGTCAAGGCAGCAGCAGCAGCAGCAGCAGCAGCAGCAGCAGCAGCAGCAGGTTGAGGAGGACGCTGACGCGAGCAACTCTGAAGAGCTCGTCGTGACTTTTGGCAGCAAGAGGATGGTGATAGATCGTCACCTGTACAGAAGGATCCCTGGCAGACTTCAAGGAGCAGGAGCAGGAGCAGGAGCAGGAGCAGGAGCAGGAGCAGGAGGTTCAGCTCAGAGTCGGAGGTGGAGGAAGAGTGACTTGATGAAGCTGGTGCGAATTGAGGGGCTGGTGCCGACCTGGTTCACCAGGAGGGAGTGCGAGCGAGTCTTCAAGGAGTGCAGTCACGTGTACCCCACCAGCTTCTCCTTCGAGCGCCTGGACCACCAACTAGACTTCTACTCCTTCATGCAGTGCTTCTCCAAGCTTGCCGCACTGTACACTGCCCGACTCTCCTCCTACCTCCTCGAGCACGAGCAGGCTTGTCTCTGCCTCCAACGAGCCGTTCGCAGGAGGAGGAGGAGGAGGAAAGCGTGGGAGCGAGCGGCTCGAGAGCACGGGGGGAGGACGAGTCGAGACTTCAGCCAAGCTGAGTTTCAGCTCATAGTCAAGCTGCAGGCTATGGTGAGAGCGTGGAATGGGGTGCGGGAGTACAAAAGGCGCAGCGCGAGGACGCAGAGGAGCAAGCGAGGGGCCGAGAGGTCGGTGAACCTGGTCTATGCCAAGAGAGCTCGAGGAGGAGAGCTGGGGAGGCTGCAGGAGGCAATGCGAGAGAACTTTGAGAGCTGTCTGCATGCCTTCGTCTTCCTGGACCTGGAGGGCTCAGACCGAGTCAGCAGGAGCGACTTCGTGCAAGGGCTCTCCCGTCTTGGGTTTCAAGTCTCGCTCGAGGTCGCTGGGAGGTTGTTTCGCATGTGTGCGGGGAGAGAGGGCAGGATGACCCCAGCTGATCTCCTGCTCACTCTCACCTGGCATGACGTGATCAACGTGGACGAGGCGCTTCTGGAGGCCAAGCAACATGTCTCTTCTCTCCCTCTAACCTCCACCCCTCCCACGTCCTCTCCCCACCCCTACCAAGTCTCTCTCTTCCCACTCCCCTCCCTCCATACCAACTCCCCTCCTCCCTTGTCAGCTTCTGACTTGCACCGCAGAAATGCAAGTTCGTCCCTCGGGTGATGGCACGAGTAACTGCGGTGAGGAGAGGAGCACATGAGGGGGGAGGGCTGATGTGTGTGCAGAGGACAAGGATGCAACACTGGCGCGACAGACCAGTGGGAGGAGAGGAGGAAGAGAAGGAAGAACAGCAAGTGATGGAGGAGGAAGAGAAGGAAGAACAGCAAGTGACGGAGGAGGAGGAAGAGAAGGAAGAACAGCAAGTGACGGAGGAGGAGGAAGAGAAGGAAGAACAGCAAGTGACAGTGGAGGAGGAGGAAGCGCTGGGAGGGGGGAGATCAGGGGCAGAGGAAGAGCAGACAGCAGGGAAGAAAGAGGTGGAGGAGGAAGCTAAGCTTGAGCTGGAGGAGTCAAGAAGAGATTAATCTTTATATTAACATCGATGCTCGTAGCATGCAACCTTGAAATACTGTAGCAGACGCTCCCGTCTCCTTCCTCTCCTGTCTCCTTCCCTTCCTCAGCTGCGAAGTCCGCGCGAGTGAGACGCCTGCTTCGCCTTGTCTTTGGCAGCCTGCAGGCAACAATGAGACAGGGAAGGAGGAGTGAGCAAGAGAAGAGAGAGGCGGAGACGAGGGAGGCCAGTAGACAAGGGGTAGAGAAGGAGAGGGAGAGGAAGATGGAGAGGGAGAGGGAGAGGGAGAGGGAGAGGGAGAGGGAGAGGGAGATGGCGGGGCTGACCTGAAGGAAGGATTGGAGGGCGTTGAGACGAGCGTCGATGTCAGAGATGTCATCTCCTGAAGTGTTTGCATATCCTCGCGGCCAAGAGTTCTCTTCGTCCGACTTATCTCGCAGCTCATGCTTGGCCCTCCATCCTCCTCTCTCTCCTTCCCCTCCCATTCCCTTCCCTCGTGTGTTGTGCTCCGCCGCAGGCCTGCCAATGCGTTGAGGAAGAGAGGAGGAGGAGGAGGAGGAGGAGGAGAAGTAGACGGAGGGCACCTGCGCTCAACTTCTTTCGACGCAGGAGGACGAGCCCGAACGCCTTCTACAGGGGGTGTTAGTGAAGAGAGAGGGGAAGTTTAAGACGAGAGGCAAAAGAGGTGAAGGAGGGAGAAGTGTGTAAGAGAGTATCTTCACCTGCATTGCGACGAGCAATCACATCGCGATCTCGCTCCATCCTGCATTACATCATCATCATCCTCTCCTCTTTTCGGGGGCTTTCACCTGCTCGACGGGCTTGGCTTGCGGTCGCTCCAGGAGCGCTTGGAGGCGCTGCTGTCCTCCGCTGGCCTCTGCCGCTCAGCAGAGGAGGGGCGGGACGAGGGGCGCGAGGAGGGCTTCACTGACTTGGCTGGGAGGCTTCTGAAGCGTCAGCAGGTGATTCATCTCCTTCTCAGCCCTCACCGTGAGATGGGAGGGTCAGCCCATGGCCGGAGCCGCTCGGCGGAGCTGCGGGAGGTCAGGGAGGAGGAGGCGGCAGGGGATGGTCACTTGGCTTTTCTCTGCCTCTCAGCAGAGGCAGGACGAGCAGGAGGAGCTCGCCATGGGCGCTCTCGCTCGGCTGAGGAGGGACGTGACGATGCCCTCGAAGAAGCGCCAGAGGCTACAAGACGAGTGAGCTCGGGCAGGCAAGAGACAAGGGAGAGAGGAGGGGGCAAAGCAGAGAGGGGCAAGAAGAGAGAAGAAGCACCAGGAGCAGGTCTTGAGGAGCCTGGACGAGGGCTGACAGATCTTGAACGATGATTTGCAGCCACCTGCAGCGATGTCAGACTTGGAGAAGGAAGTCAAGGGGGAGCTAAGGACCTGTGCCTGCTTGTTCTTGACGTATGCCGTGGGGTCAAAGCGCTGGAATGGACGAGCAGGGGGAGGAGTGGGACGGCGCCGTTCAGCGGAGGACGGGCGAGAACCAGCGCTGAAGTAGAAGTGAGGAAGAGGAGGAAAGGCGACAAGACTGACTTGTTGCCGTAGATAGCTCTCTTCGCATCCAACCTGTACATCATCATCATCATCATCATCCCTCTGTCTTGACAAGGAATATTTTCTCACCTCGGGTCCGATTCAATCTTCGCTCTCCTCTTCGCCAGGTCCAGCTCAGACTGCAGCTCCCGAACCTTCGCCTTGAGATCGAGGACGGTCTGTCGCCCCCCATCTACTTCTCTCTGCAGCACCACCAACTGTTGAGCACCTGGACTTCAGCTCCGAACATTTCGTGTCACAAAAGTCCACCTGGTGTCTGAGTTCCGCCTGCTCCTCCCTCGCCTCCTCTCGCTCGTTGGCCAGCTCATTCTGCCCATACAGTCAGCATGTCGCCATCAGAACAGCAGAGTGAATGGAGGAGAGGAGCAGGAGACGAAGAATGATCGCACCTCGAGCTCAGTGATTCTTCTCCTCGCTTCCTTGAGGGACGAAGACAGGCTTTCTCGATCAACATCTGCAGGAGGGTCAGTCAGGACGAGACTCCAGACCCCTCCTCTTCACCTATCCTCACTTGGCCCTCCAGCTGCTCCAGCTCTGACGCGAGCTTGTCGTTCTGCCTGCAGGGAACGTGACAAGACTGAAGAGCATCCGGCACGTCGCACCTGGTGACTTTTGACAGCTCAGCTCGAAGTCTCTCCGCGTCCTTCACCGCCTGGTCCTTCTGCTTCTTCAGCTGGACTGCAGGTGAGGAGCCTGTTGAGTGAAGAGAAGCAGACCTCGTAGTTCTCTCCTCGAAGAGCTGATGCGTCTCCCTCGTCGCGGTGAGGAGGAGGAGGAGCAGCAGATTTGAGCCTCTGCATCTCTTCACGCAGCCGTCGGATGGTGGAGTAGAGCACTGCTCGTCATCATCAGCTCGTCACGGCGCAGCCCCTCGTGCCTCAGGCACCTGAAGGAGGAGGATCGTCCCAGTGAGCAAGAGGAAGGGGATAGTGCACGCGATCAAACTCGACGGCGTACGTTAGAATGAGATATCTGCGAGAGGGTCAACAGGAGGAGATGGAGAAGGAGGAGGAGGAGGAGAAGGAGGGGGAGGGGGGGAGGCAAGAATACCTCTTGTTTGTGGGCCGAGTGGAGGTGCTTGCCGGTTTTCTGGTCTGTCTGCTCCTCAGCATCTCGAGATCTTGATACGTCAAGAGGTCGGCAAAGACAGTCTCACTAGCCTGCATACAACACTCATGGCATGACTCCCTTTCTGACTCCCCTTGCCTGTTTCAGGGCAGAACACAGCATCTTGTAGAACACAGAGAACTTCTTGAAGTTGCCAGTCTTTTGCGTCACCTCCTCTATGTAGGATGCGCTGAATTCGCCATGCCACCTCTCCCCGTCGTCTTTCTGCACAACAGACTTTGAGTCTCACCAGCTTCTTCAACTTTGTCTCACCTTCTCCACGTCCACAGTGAGTATATTGCTGTCGTTTGCTGACACCTCTACGATGTAGTCCGTGCCATGAAACGTCAGCTCCTCGCACACCTCTGACGGAGCTGCTGGTTCCTGCGGTAAGACTTGAGAAGAGCGCAGGAAGAGAAGAAGCATCGCTGTCACCGGCGAAGGAGGCATGGTAGACGAGCTTGTCGGATTGAGAGATGGTTCACCTGTGATTGAGTTTCGTTACATCAATTTGATGCAAACATGTGTCGCTGTTCTTTCCACCCTCCAAGTTGCAAAAGTTTGTCCCGCCCTCCCTGCCTTCTTGTTCTCAACCTCAACGCTTTGTCACGTTTTCCAACTTTGACCACTTGATAACAATGTCCCTCATCATCTCCATACTGCTTTTCTGCTTCCTTCCAGTCAGGTCCTTGTTTCAAAGAGCTTACTCGGTTCCTTGCTACTTACTATTCGTCGGTCCACTGGACCTCGCAAGCTCTCTTCTAGCCCGACGACTCCTGTACTTGCTCACTCGCTCTTGATCGCATTCCTACCCCACAACTGCTCTTCCCACATATCCTCCCCCTGCCCTCCTCGTTTCCTTCAGTCTCGATCGCCATTCCCGCCTTTCAGGCTTTCAAACGCAGAACTACCCCACCCCATCAATTTTGGTAATATTGGACTGAAAAGTACCCGTGCAAGCAGGAACATCACCCTACCCACACTTTTCGATGGTGGAAACTACCCCTGGTCGAATGTATACTAGGGTTTTTAAAATTGTAGATTTACACTTTAATAAATATTTTTAGGTTCAGATAAATTACCATTATAATTCAAATTGTGTAGAAGTGGTACAACTATGTTTTAAAAGTGTTTTCTCGTTCGAATTTTGCAATACCGGCTCGCCATGTTGCGGGTTCGGGTAGACGACTGGCGCAGGCGAGGAGGGAGGGGAGGAAGGAAGGGGGGAGAGGAACAAGTCAAGCTCTTCTTCCTCACCCACATGCATGCAGACCATACTCAGGGGCTGCACAGCGAGTGGGATGAAGGTATGATCTACTGTTCTCAAGTTTCTCGCTCCCTCCTCCTCGACAAATTCGACGTGGATCCTGTGCGAGTAGTGGCGATGGAAATTGGAGTTCCCAAGCTCCTCAGACTTGATACTGGTAAAGAGGTCATGGGAAGAGAAGACAACAGCGAGGATGAGAGTAGCCGACGAAACGTAGTCAAGGTTACCTGTATCGATGCCAACCACTGTCCTGGGGCTGTCATGTTCTACTTCGAAACTCAAGACATTCGGCTTCTTCACACAGGAGACTTTCGTCTCTCTCCTGCCATGATCCGAGAGGATTCTCCTTTGGCCATGGCAAGAGACTGTCATCTGGTGGTGGACAACACATACTGCGACCCCAAGCACACGTTCCCTTCCCAACAGGAGGCTGGGCAGAGGATTCTAGAGCTTGTCCGCCGCTACAGGGGTTCCAGTGACATCTTGATCGGGATCGATGCGCTTGGCAAAGAAGACCTGCTGGTGCTTATAGCGAGGACGTTTGACACTCAGATCGTGGTGGACAAGGTGAGATATCACAGGATCGTTTCTGTCTTGGGGTTTCCTTCAGAGTGCTTCACGACGACATCGGACTGCGTGTACAACATCAGAGTCGTTGAGCGATGGAGAATGTCCAATTCTTACATCGAGATGCTCAACAAGGACAGGCCCACTGTGGGCATCGTCGCGAGCGGGTGGGGAGGAGAGCATATCTTGAATCCTTCGTCACAGCTGCATCGGGTTCCTTACTCTCTCCACTCGTCCTTCGATGAGCTCCGACGCTTCGTCGAGTTTCTGCATCCTGTGACCATGACCGGCATCGTGAAGCCGAGAAACAACGTCATGCTCCACCTACAGCACCTGCTGTCCGACGAGGCGGACCCTCTCATGGTGTGTCCCTACGTGGTGGACGACGCTTGCCGCTCGATGAAGTTTCAAGTTGGAAGGAGGGCGAAGAGACATCGGGGCAAGAGGAAGAACTACGTCAGGAGGACGATCGCGATGATCAAGCGGAGAAACCTCCTGCAGCGACATCGGAGAAAGCGGTTCAAGCTGACTATCACGGTGGACGGAGGAGAAGACTTGGAGAAGGAGGCCGAGGACGAGAGGAAAGACACAAGACAGCTTGCCGCAAGCTACATGGAAAAGATTCGGATGTTTCAGAAACCCTCGACCGAGTGGAAGATGCGCAAGTTGAGCGCCTTCTCTCATCTCTTCCTCCACAAAAAGAGGGTCAAGACAGCATGTGCCTTCTCCAACGCAATGGCGCCTCCTCCTCCCCCTGCACCTTCCCCCCCTCCTCCTCTATCTCTCCATCCTCGTTCATCTCATTCTTCAGCCGAACACGCTCAAGTTCCAAGCGCTTCTCCTTCCTCGCTCCCCTCCGTCAAGTTGGAGGACGAGCATGCGTTCGTGCGGGCCACCAAGGCAAACAAGAGAGCGACAGAGTCCTTAGGAGGTGCAGGGGCCCAGGAGGTCGAGACGAGATGGAGAGGCACTCTTGACCAGGTCTGTTCATGGCAACCTTGCGATGGGACTTTGACGATGATGCCGCAGTGGTTGATAAAACCCCAGCAGGTACGAACCCAGCAGGATAAGAGTTTGCGCCCTTCCCTTCATTGCGATACGAGCTCGGCGTCTGCTCGGAGCCTTAGCGCTTTCTCACCTCTCCTTCGCAAATCTTGAGAGTTGGCAGTTGAGCCTTGAAGGCTTCACTTCTTGACCTGTTGAGCCTGTACATGATGTAAATGGTTGTTCAATTACCATCCTCCCTCAATTGCCAGTACCCCGAGAATCTTCTCCACATCCTCCGCCGTCTTCACGCCGTTGATGATCTTGCCCGCAAAAGGTCCTTCCTCCCCCTTGCGGATGACCTGCATTCCTCAATCAGACCTGCCTTCCTCTCTGACCCTCCTCCAAAGTCTCCACTCCTCTCCTTTCTTCTCTTCCGCTTTCCTCTCCTCTCCCTCTCTCTTTTGTCCCTCCCATCCTCTCGATGCTCCCTTGCACCAGCTGCTTCCACTCCCTTCCCTTCCCTGACCTGCCTCTCTCCCTTATCCTTCCTCTCCTCGTCCCCGTCCTTCCTCTCAGTACCTCGACGTTGGGTCCCAGCCCGCACTCGGCGCACTCCGAGACGCACTTTACAGAGTCTACCTCAACCTGCGTCACCCGTTGAGCTCAAGTGCCTTCAGGTCACATGCTCTCACTCCCTCCGGCGCCATCTCTTGAAACATCTGCGGGCAACGTCACGTTGCAAGAATCGACCCGGCGGCAGAGGACTAGGAGAAAAACGAAGAGATGGGAGCATAAGACAGCCATCAGATCAACCTGACACGACAGGACAGAGTAGGACAAGACAGGGCAGGAATGGATACGACAGGATAGTGAAAACTGAGTTTCAAAGCACCTTGAGCAGCGGCTTTCCCCCACCGTTCCTCGAGCATGTTGGTCCAGTGCAAACTGTGATTTTCTCGATCGGCTCCGAAGAGCACATGCACATGGTCGAGAGCCTGTTGCTCCGGAGAGAAAGGGACATGGAAGGAGGAAGGTAAGCAACGGCGAGTTGCAAGGAAGACAAGGAGAGCGCGAGAGCGCAGAAGAGAAGATTCTTGCTCATTGCCACAGAGAACATTTCTTGCCAGCGAGAATGAAACAGCCAAAGTTTCTTGTCCTGTACCAAACCAACATCAGGCATTCAGTTCGTTGAATGTTTCGGCAGATTCGCAGTGTCTCTTTGACCTCGGATGTGATCACTTAGCTGTATTTGAGTGAGATATGTACTCCATGAAACAATGATATGAGATGCAAAGAAAGATGCCGGCAGGACAGAAGGAAACTATTGTAAAGGGATGGAGGGACAACTTGCATGATGATGATGATGATGATGATATCATCATCATCATCATCATCATCATCTCCAATATCATTTCCATCATCTCGTCTCATCTCGGTACTTCTGCCTGTTCTTCGCTCCATCGTTTTGCTTATATCCACCCATTTTCGCCCTCGTCCCCCTACTTCGGGTAGCCCGGCCGGGCGCAGGGCCGGGCGGGCCCCAGGCAGCGGGCGGGCCCCGGGTCCCGGAGTCCGGGGGCGACTCAGCGGGCGACTGTGAGACGGTCGTCCACTGGCGCGGCGGCTGAGACTCGGAGATTAAGTTCACAGACATACTAACAATCATCTAGAGTATCACACAAGCTGCGCTGCCGCTCGTCGTCGCTCCTCGCGACTCCCCAGCGGTCGACGCGTCTCGTTTGGTAGAGACCTGGAAGTGAGCGAAGACGGGCCTGTGATCCGACGCCATGATGCTGCTCGCCGCCCCGTACGCTTTCGCCTCGATCGAGCCTGCTCGCGAGGTGAGAAAGGAGGAGCCTGGAGGAGGAGGAGCGTTACCCTCTTGTCCTGGAGCTGCTCGGAAGAGGATGCGATCAGTCCAGGAGGGGACTCGCTTCTTAACGGACTCGTACTGGTCCGTCCAGGCCTCAAACTTGTAAGTTGGGTTGAAACTGATGCTCGCCTCCTCGAAGCTGAGGGCCCCTGTCAACCTCCTCCTCCTCCTCCTCCTCCTCCTCCTCCTCCTCCTCTACCTCGGGAACACTCGGGCGTTTTCTCGTTCTTCAGTCAATTCATCCAGCAGCAGCAGCGCCGCTCGTTTCCCCTGCTCCAGCTTCCTGCTTGAGCCGTCAGGGGTCGGGCCCGCACCAGCAGCAGCTACTCTCACCCTATCGCGTCCTCGTACGTCGCCTGCACCCTGTAGTTGAAATCTCCGAGCCAGAAGACGCGGTCGAATAGACTAGATACACTCCATCGCCCCTACTCTCAGTCAGTTCCTGCTTCTCCCCCTGCCCCTGCCCCTGCCCCTGCCCCTGCCCCTGCCCCTGCCCCTGCCCCTGCCCCTGCCCCTGCCCCTGCCCCTGCCCCTGCCCCTGCCCCTGCCCCTGCCCCTCCCTCTTCTTTCCCTCCTCTCTTTCGCTCCTACCGTGTGAGTAGTTGAGCCGTCCTTGAGCTCGTTGAGTCGATGAGCAACGATGGGGCACATGAGCGGCACAAGTCCAGAGTCGATGCGGAAGAAGTCCTCGTTCCTCGCCTGCTAACCATCAGCTCTCAGCTCGTCCCCTGCACCCTCACCTTTACGGATTTCGGTTTGCTTCCTGCTGCAAAATGAGCAGTGACGAAGAGGAAGCTCGTCGAGAAGATGTCGAAGCAGATTCCGATCCCTGACTGCGATGTGCGTTAGTACAGGGAGGCAGCAGGAGGAAGGATGGAGCAGGAGGAATTCGAAAGAATCCCTGGCAAGAAGGTCGAGAGGGCTGGAGAGGAGAAGGAGGGTGCAGAGGATGAGAGAAGAGGAGAGAAGACAGGAGGCGCAGACCTTGTTGGCGATGACTCGTCCGAATCCCGTGATGACATGAGCATGGTGGACGTCGCTGACGTGAGGGAGAAGGTCTTTGCGGATGAAGCACATGAGGTGAGTTGTTCCTAGGCAGTGCTTCGCTATCAGCTCATACTCCTTCCCCATGTGGCTCGTCATCGCCGCCTCCCATCGCGGTCGCTCGCTTGCTGTCGAGAGGCCAGGAAGACCCTCCAGCTCCTACTGAAAGTCACTTGTGCCCCCTCCCCTCCTCCCCTCTTCGAAACCCTCCTCCTCCTCCTCCTCCTCCTCCTCTCCTCCTCTCTCTCCCCCAGTTGCTTCCCTCTCACTCCTCTCCAGTACCTGAGCTCCAATGGCGTAGATGTCAAACTGGTCAGGTGACAGCCAACTGGCCAGCGACATGCTGGGGCAGGAGCCTCCCCCCAGGTTCCAAGTGCCCACATACACGGAGAGCGAGCGAAACTTGTGCGGGGAGGGCTGGGGAGGAGGAGACGTGTAAGAGCATCGCAACGAGCATCGCTCACTCTACCTCAGCCTGCTCTAGCCCAGGTTCCCCGTTCCCTTTGCCCTCCTCCTCTTGTTTCTCCTGCGCTCTCTCCCCCTGCTCCCCCGGCTCATCCTCTAGCTTGGGTGCTGGAGCATGTGCGTGCTTCGCTTCCTGGTATTCCCTTTCAGCCTTTTCCATCTCCTGCTTCAGCTTCTCCGCCATGGCCTTAATGCACACGAAGAGTGAGATGGAGGAAGCGACGAAGGAGCATGGAGAAGTGCGCAGGAAGAGGAGGGGAGAGGTTGAAGGAGAGGGATAACAGGGAAGCAGAGAGGAGCCGTAGACGAACATGAAGAAGAAGGGAACAGGGAGAGGGGGGGGAGCAAGGAGAACATGCTGGTGGACATTCAACATGTGATAGAGTACCTTCCTCTCGACATCTTTTCGTGCCACCAGCACTTCCAGGACTTCTTTTTCCGGCTCGATCTTGTCGTCCACGTCCAGGATCTTGGGAGGGAGGAGGAGCGGAGGGGCAACATTCTCAGCGAACATCGCCTGCTGCCTCTTCTTCGACTCTTCCAGCATCTCTCGAAGTTTCTGCCCAGCTCGTAGCAGCTGCGCATGGACAGAAGTGTCACCACGTCTCATCAAAGTACTCGGCCCTCCTTCTACTAAACCTTCCCAATTGCATCCTGCTCCTGCTCCTGCTCCCCCACCCAGTCCTGCTCTCCTTCCTCCACTTCGCTCTCCTCCCCCTGCTCCTCTCACCTGCTCGTGGGACTGCTTCACGTATCCTCCACGCTGTTGTTTCTCTTGCGGCGCAGCGACAAAAGTTTGCGGAGGGTCAGAGGATGCGGACGAGTGGGGAAGAGACTTGAGGGAGGAGAGGGCGCGACTGAGCGGGCGAGGAGGAATTTCTGCTGCTGCAAGGCAACTTAAGTGCACGCGGACGAATGTAAGTCTGATCACCGGAGGAAGGTCGGGGTTCTTGTGCTGATCCTTCCAAGACTTTCAATCCATCTCCTGTCCCGCCATCCTCCGCTCGTTCCCTCTCACCCTCTCCTTCTTTCCTCGCAGCCATCATCTCCTCTCCTGCTGACGACTCCTTTCCTTCCGCCCCCTGCGGCAGCTCCAACGCTGAAGTTTCTCCGCTTGCTTTGACCTCTCCTGATTGACCCACAATATCTGCAGCTTCCTCCTTCATGATACTGTTCTCCACTCCTCCCTCCTCTCTCGCCATCGCTCCTCCTCCTCCCTCCTCTCTCGCCATCGCTCCTCCTCCTCCCTCCTCTCTCGCCATCGCCCCTCCTCCTCCCTCCTCTCTCGCCATCGCTCCTCCTCCTCCCTCCTCTCTCGCCATCGGCCCTCCTACTGCCTCCTCTTCTACCATCGCCCCTCCTCCCTGCTCTAACACCACTGTCTCTTCCTTTCCTGCATCAATCTTGATGCCATCATCAAGTAGTGTCTCGTCCTCGTCTATTTCTTCTTCTTCGACCATCATGACCATCGCTCCACCCTGGTCTTCCTTCGCGCTTGTCTCTCCCCCACCTCCTTCCTCCACAGCTGCTGCTTCTTTTCCCTCCTCCTTACCCGTGTCAACCTCTTCCCCTCCCGCCTCCTTCCCGCTTGCAGCACCACCTTCCTCCTCCCTATCGACTGGCGCCCCACCCCCTCCTCCCTCCTCGACGTTGATACTTGACTCGATGGGTCCTTCCTCGTGTATCTTGACGCTGCCATCCAGTTTTGGCCCCTCCTCCTCTTCCTCTGCCTCCTTGATACTCAAATCCTCCCCCCCTTCGCTCCCCCTGACATTAAATGATTCGCTCCCTTCCTCTTCGGTTCTGCTTGCTTCTCCACTTTCCCCCTTCGCTTCTTCCTCAACCCGTCCATCTGCGTCTTCTGTCCCCTCTTCCCCATCCATCGGCTTCTCCTGCACAGCATCGTGTACCTCCTTGGGCGTCTCCTCTAGGCTTCCTGACCCTGCTTCCTCTTCCTCCTTTATCACGACATCCGCCCTGGGCTCCTCAGTTTCGCTTGACCCCTCTGGTTCGTTCTTGACGTCTGATTTTCCGTCGGCTTGCTTGCGCTGTGCTTTGTTGCTCGAAGTTTCTTGCTGCTGCTGCTGCTTGCTGCTCCTCTTGCTTGCTGAGGCCGTTGGCGGTTTCTTCAGGTCATTCAAAGTCTTCTTTGGGTTAGCATTTCGAGATTCCCCCTTCCTTTCCCCTTCCACTTTCTGCGCACCTGCTTTCTTCATATTCCTCTATCCCCCGCTCTTTCTCTCGTCCCTCCACCCCTTACGCTCCCGGCAAATCATTTTCTTCACCCTCAAAACTGTTGACAATGTTGGTCGTCACCTGTCCTCCTTCATCATGCTCAACTGGTCTTGATACATCACTTCCCCTCTGCTCCGATCGCCAACTCATCCATCCCTTCGCTCCCCTCCATCTCTCCTCCCTTCTCTTCCTCTCCCCTGCCATCGTTGCCCCCGGCCATGCCCTGTATCGGCATGGCAACCGAAACCTTTCAAGTGGGTCCGCCTCATGTGTGAAAAAGACTTAGATGGTCAATGAGGGGACGAGGGATAAACTAGTGGGGATGAGGGCTAAACTGAATTACTTAACTGCGACACTTCAAGCATCACTAATGGCGACACCTGCTACGATGCACCTTTCCAAATCCTCCTCCTCCTCCTCCTCCTCCTCCTCCTCCTCCACCTCCTTCCCCTCTAACTCCTCCTCCTCCTCCTCTACCACCACCACCACCCCATTCTCCCCTTCCTCTCCTCTCCTCCTCATTCCTCCCTTTCCTCGTCTCACCACACTTCATAGCCCAGCCCAGCCTCTTTCCTCATCTTGTTTGCTGCATGATTCCTCCTATCCCACCCCGACCCTCCATCTCAATCTACCATAAACTCTCGTCCTCCTCATCTCTCTTGCCTGAAACTCCTTTGTCTGCCAGCTGTGCTCCCTCAAATTTCTCCGATTTTCCATAACATTCAAAACCTACAAAGTGTGTCTGTTTACTCCTTGGCCTCGTGATTTCTTTTGATTACCATATTCTCGATTTCACTCTAATTTTCTTCTGATGTCCTTTGTGCTCCACGGAGCGCTATAACCTTGTCTACATCCTTCCATCGAATCATCACGAACTACAATCCTGCTTCAACTTGTGTGCTCAATTTCTGTTTTCTGAATACCATGCAAGGACTTCAAGTCTCGATGTGATTGACCATTTCACTGCAGGCTCTCCCCCTCTCCTGCTGTTCTTCCTGTCTTTCGCTATGGTAGCCATCGAGAAGGGAGGAGGCGGGGGCTCGCACGGTATTCCTGAAGGACAGTTGCTAGGAACTCTTGCGCTGGTGAAAGGAAGGTGGAGGTGAAGGAGATCAGCTGACGCATGGAGCAGGTTGGGTTGATCTACTTCACAGCAGCAGGAGGAGCCTACGGGAGTGAGAGTGTGATCAACTCGGTAGGGTGTCATACCCCTGCTTCTCGCGTGACTGTCCGCTAGGTTGGTCCCCTCCCTGTAATCATTGGCCATGCTATCTTCCCGTTCTGCTGGAGTTTGCCGATTGGTAATTCGAGGCTCTGCTTCTCATCCAGTTGACTGCCGGCAGGTCTCGCCACGGTTGAGCTTGCAACGGCATATCCCACGGATGGGGGAGTTGCCGTGTGGGCGGCACTCGCATTCAATGAGTTCTGGGGCTTCATGGGAGGATATTTCAGCTTGGTCGAAGGGGTGGTCAACCTCGCTGTGTTCCCGACAGTCACTCTCGATTACATTCTTGTCTTGTTTGACGTGAGCGCAAGCCCATGCGATGATGTTCGAAGTGATGGCTCTGCAGGCGGAGTTGGATCCTGTCAGTTCCTGGTTCGGGAAGGCGGCCATCTCGTGCCTCGTCGTGCTCTTGAACATGCAAGGCGTGAACTTCGTTGGTCGAAGCTCCTACCTGGTGATTTTGCGACTTCCTCCTCGTTTAAGTGACTGTCTGCTCTTAGTTAAGCATTCTGATCAACATCCCCCTGATCATCTTGTGTATTCTGGCAGTGATCAGAGTTAAGGTGACTGATGAGATTCTCGCTGTTGGCAGTCGAGCGTGAGATGTTTGTGCAGGATTACTCTCCATGGATGGACTCTCGTCAGAATGACTATGATACCAACTGGACCTTCTTCTTGGGGATCTTGGTGTTCAATTTGTCTGGGTTGGAATGTTCCCCTAGATGCTCTTGATTGTACTGAACGAGACACAGGTACGATAATGTTGGATCTGTGGCTGGGCAAGTTAAGAAACCAGGAGTAACGATGCCAAAAGCGATGATCATTGCGATCATTGTCGGCTCTGTCTCCTTTCTTGTTCCGCTCATGTTTGGAGCTGTTGTAAGTCAAACGGCTTCACCTCAAGAATTGCCTTCCCCACCTCCCCTTCCCCTTCCACATCTGTTGATTTGTCTCTCATCAGATCGATCCTGACTACGATGACTGGCGTGCGGGACATTTTGCAGTGGTTGGGAAGATGGTTGGAGGTACAAATTCTCCTCCCCCCCCCCACCCCCCCTCTTACTCGTTCTCAGGGAATTGGCTCTTCTACACGCTCGTGGTCGCTGCCGCCATGTCGCGTCTGACACATTTCATGGCTGAGCTCTGCACAAACGCCTTCTTCTTACAGGTGAGAAATCCTGCCATCGTCTTCGTCGTGACCTCTTTCGGTAGGGAATGGCCGACGAGAGGATGGTGCCCCCCATCTTCGGGTAACTCTGACCCGGCGGATCTTGACGAGGAAGCAAAGGTTGATTGCGGTCGGGTACAGGTGGAAGCATCCTGAGAAGCGAGCACCGTGGGTTTCCATCATCGCCAACTTTGCCGTAGTGCTGTCCATGGTGACGTCATCATAGCTGGGGCCTGAGCGGGAGTGGCTGACAACATGGGCAGGTTACGCTGTCGCTCCCTGAGATTTTCGAGTTCTCGAACGCCTTCACCATAGCTGGAGTTCTGCTGGGGTATGTATAGCAAGGTAGTGCTATCTCTAGAGCTCATCTTCCTTTGCAGGCTGACTACATGTATTCGTTTGCGCATCACTCACCCTGACGGTATTGGTCGCTTGCTCTTGTTGCTCGCTCACGGCATCCCAGTGCCAAGACCCTACGCAATCCCCGTCGGCACTTGGGGCCTTGTGACTTTCTTCATGCCTTGCTACGTGCTCTCGGTAAGCTTTTCATGCCGCTCTCCTGACGCCTTACCGTCCTTACTCTTCCTCGCTCGGTCTTCTCCCTTCCTATTCAACCCCTTCCCGTGTCCTGGCTCTATCTGAACGCCACACAGATCTACGTGCTCTTCTGTCTCTCGACCTTCACGGTCAGCATCTGCATTGGCGTCGTGGGCTCAGGGGTGCTGGGATACTACGCGCTCAACGAAGCCAAGTAACGTCACATCCCTGCTGTTCTCTTCTCAAAGGTCCGCAGGATTGCAGGATGGTCGGGGATGCAGGGGACGGTGGAGGAGGTGGAGCTGTTCGGGTGCTCGAAAATATTGTGAACGCTCCTCCTGGTGCTGACTTGAGGGTCTGACAGGCAGAAAGGATATTCTGAGAACGCAGCAGCAAGGAGCAATCGGAGGAGCGACGTCTGACGCTGAGCAGCATGACGCTCGTGTATATTCTTTACAAAATGTGCATCTTCAATCAGCAAGATAACCAATTATTGTTAATGCTACAACAAACTTGTGAAAGCAGTGGACTGAGATGAGAGACTTGAAAACCTTGATGTAAGGCAAACAAAAACAAAAATCTCCTGTAACTACAACAGGACGACTACTCATCCTGCGGAAGACTCGATCGCTCTTGCAACATGTCTACCAGGACGTCGGTGCCCCTCTGCTGTCCTGGCCTTGGTCTTGGTCGCGATCTTGAACTTCTCGTGGTTGTGAATCTGTTGCAGAGGAAGGTTTTTGGCCCCCGTGGTGCTCTCGATCGAGTTCGCTATCCACTCGTTTATGCGCGGATCCTTCTTCGCCTGCTGCTCGTACGTGGTCGGTGACTGCAACGGCGTGTTGTGACTCGTCCGGACTAGTCGCTCTTGCTCCACTTTCTCGCCCACAGGCCTTGAGATGGCTGAACGAATTCGCCTGTCCTTTGCAAGAGGAAGCGAGTATCCTTGGTTCACAAACCACTCAGGCTGCGGGGTAGTGCAACGAGCACCCTCAGAGAAAGTCGGTACGGTTACAATGCCTCCCATGTTCCTCCTTGATCTCCTAGAAAGCAACGCCAACTAAACCTCCATCTTCGCGTGGTCGCCTCCTGCCTCCGACTCCAGGATTCTGCCAACTTAAGATTGATTGCTGTCGATGCTTTCCTGAGGCTGCAAGTAGAAGGAGGTTGGGATCAGACGAAGATCAACTGGTGAAGTTCCAGGAATGCTCTCACGTAGGAACGAAGATGGGGCAACAGAGGATTTTTGACTGAATTGGCTGTTGTGAGTGAGCGTAGGCAGAAGATCAAGAGAGAACTTTGATCTTTGGTGAGACTCTAGAGGATGTAGGAGATGAAGAACTGAGGAGGATACTGCAGACTGGGGAGGATGAGGAGGATGGAACGTCAGGCGTGGAGGAGGGTCGGGGGTTTGGAGGCGGAGATTTGCCCGGAGCAAAAGTAAAAAAATGAGAGATGATGACGGTAGACGGGGTGGGGGTAGATGAGACTTCATCGCTACTATTAAAGTAGGGGTCCTTGCTGGTGAGAATTCGGTGCTAGGAGGGGGTTACTCGAAATTAAAGGGGTCTCCGGATCCAGGGGTGGTCGTGCGCTTACCAGACTCTGGTAGTGGAGGAATCGAGGGGTCATGTGGCAAGGGATTAGGGGGTAGGGTCCTTCCCAGTTGACTTCGACCCCCATAAAGATAGGAAAAAGGTCGGGTGGAGGACCTGGGGAGATGCAACTCACGTACCTACCTACCCCTCTGTCCCTGTCCCCTACTCCCCTCGGGTTGAAGAGGTAGGATCCTTGCTGACTTCCAGAGGAGTCCAAAGATTTGGGTAGAGAGAGGAGAAGGGGTCCTTTTACGCTAAAAAGGGGGGTAGTATGAGACGACAAACGAGAGTTTTCGAAGGACAGAACTGAACCACATATGCGTTTCAGTTTGTCACGCAATTCTATCTTTTGAATGAGGGGGTGGGGGTGGTACTGTGAAGAGTTGAATTCAAACATGTGCAAGAGAGGGGTACTAATACTTTGTGAGGGTAGGGTAGGGTATTGAATGTCTGTCGAGCAATCCTGGGGTCATGAGACTCTTGGTGATCGCTGGTCATCAGGGCAATACCGCATGTCACACTGATGGGTTCCGAGGACCGGTGGTTGACCCAGTTAAACGGTGGGGTGATCAGGACTTTACCGGTAGTATCACCATTGTTTTGAAGGGGTGGGGGTGGATGGGCGGTGGGTTCTCATCGATGTCACATTATAACATAATATAATGAGCCTCGGAAGTTCTGACTCTTCGTTCCGAAGAGTCATCCGCAGACAATCGTGATGCCGTTACACAACGTTACAAGATCTGATGTGTAACGGAAATCTGCCGTTGCAAAGAATTCGCAGTGTGATCAGTTACATCGGTTACGTTAACGGAAAGATCGTTGTCCCGTAGGGCCCCTTGTAGTATGGAGATGCGACAAGACGAGGGAGGAGGGCGGGTGGGACCCGGAGCAGGAGAATCAGGAGAAACGTGAGAGAGGACAGTAGACGTGAAGGACAAGCATGAGGAGGACACCGCACGGCACTGCCGTAAGATGAAAGCATGACAAACAAACTCTTTTTTGTGGGTGAACTTGATGACATGACATTGTCGAGCATCGAATCTCTCGGATACCATGAGTGCGATTGCGTCTAAAACTGAGGCTGAGACATGAAGTCGGCAGAGCAGAGGAGCGGTACCAACGACACCAGCTGCACGGTTTACGCATGGGGTAGAGGCAAGGATCATGTTCTGGGGACAGGGCATGCCTGGATGCACCCAAACCCCACGGCGATGATGCATGTGGGTCTCAAGGTGAAGTCTGTGGCATGCGGGGCAAGACACACGCTGCTGCTCTCCTCGCACTTCAAAGTCTTCTCGTGGGGTGAGAGCATGCATGGACAGCTCGGCCTAGGAGCGACCAGTGCCCGACAGGCGTCAGTCCAACCAACACATATCGACAAGCTAGACAGTCTCTATGTGGTACAGGTCGCTGCAGGAGGAAACTGCAGCCTGGCAATCTCGAAGAAGGGGACTATGCTTGCCTGGGGTGACAACAGCATGGAGCAGCTCGGGCTCGGAGCCTCCTTCTCGGGCAAGGCCAAGGTGTTGGAGCCCAGCAGCATCCTGGGCTTCAGCGTGGAAGCAGAAATTCAGTGGCAGCAGCCGGTGATCGTGAGGGCGAGGATAGGAGGCAGCCATGGCGCCTGCCTTGACACGTCAGGAAACCTCTTCACCTGGGGCCGTAACGACTGCGGGCAGCTCGGGCTGGGCGATCAAGTAGACCGCAACACTCCCAGCATGGTGAAGACACATCAGTTCGTACGAGTGTCAGTGGGCACATCGCATACAGCAGCAGTCGATCATCGATACCAGCTGTGGACGTGGGGGAGCGTGGGGGAGGGGCGACTGGGACATGGTGTGTTGTTCGAGGAGAAGAAAGAGATCCGAGGCAACGTGGTGAACAAAATCCGCAGGCAACTGAATTTCGTGCTTGAGCCGAAGAAGGTGGAGTTCTTCAAGCAGAAGAGGATCGGGTTGGCAGATGTAGCCTGCAGCAATAGCTTCACCATCGCCCTTGATAGGAAGGGAAGGTTGTGGAGCTGGGGAGCGGGGATGTACGGTCAGCTGGGAAGGGGTTCGGACAATCTGACGTCTGACTTCCCCGAGCTGATTGAGATCCTCCTGCCTGATGAGCCGCCGGACTTGTTCCAGCAGAACCTCGAGCATCGACGCTCGCTGCGACGAAACTCTGCGTCCTTCCTGTTTCGCAACTCCTTCTCGCTCAAGAGCCTTGCTAGTGGAACCAACGACACCGACACGCCGCTAGAGTCCCCGGACGAGAGGAAGCAGCGGTCGTTCATCATGCGACACTCGTCGAGGAAGATGACGAGCGAGGTACAGGAGCTGAGGGCTGACTCGCCTGAAGGGAAGAGACTCTCCTTCGAAGCCGACGGGCTCGTCGACGAGCGAGTCTGCATTTCCCAGCTTGTAGTCGGCAAGTCCCACGCCTTCGCGGTATCCAAGAAGGGGCAACTTTTCTTTTGGGGCAAAGGAGACTTTGGACTGGCAGGAAACGGGGATTCAAGGTGTCAGCATTCGCCAATTGCGGTTCCGAGCATGAGAGAAGATGTGTCGCTGGTGGGAACGGGGGATCACTTCGCCATAGCGGTCAGGTACCAGGACCGCAAGTCGCTGGTGTCCCGGGGCTACCGCCTCCTCACCCTCCCCAACACTCAGGGGATAGTGCACGTGCTCGAAGAGGTTGACCGAGCTCGGCCAGAGGCAAAGCTCAAGGAGGAGGACAAGGTCGACCAACGACGTGCGCAGGATCTCAACGATGCGAGCAAGCAACTGACCAATAACGCCTACACGTCAAGCAAGGAGTGGAAGAACAAGTACCAGTCGCTGGTTCCCGGAGCTGAGCACTTTCTGGAGCTTGAGGGGTGGGATCTGCTTGATGGCCCTTACCTCGACACCTCTCTTCCTCAGGATCCGGCCCTGGACCTCATGACGCCTGGCGGGATCAAGTCGCTGTGGTCGCAGTACAAGACGGCGAAGAAGGTGGAGGACCCGGGGAGGCGAGAGGTGACAGGCAACAGGACGGACCGGAGAAGGAGCTTGGAATACGTCTTGCTGCCCCCGAAGCCTCTGCATAGCTCCGATCGCCTTCCATCGACGCTCAAAGACGCCATGGCCGTGGAGACTTTGTCGCTGTACGAGGAGGAGCACAAGGAGCTTCGGCAGCGGGAGAGGACCAGGATCCTGAGCGCCCATCGCAGATCCAGCGAATCGCAGGGGCCGCGAACAACCTTCGGTACCGAAAGTCGTTTCAAGCGAAGAGACCCCGAGGAACAAGACGGTAAAGTCACTCAGATCGCCAACGATGTTGGGTACGTCCCAGCTGGGATCGGGCTGGTGCTGACCGCAAACTTGCGCTTCGATTCGGTGGAGAAGGAGGTCAGGGTGAAGGAGGTGGTGAGGGGGGGTTCAGTGCACCAGAGCGTGCTAGCTGAGAAGAGCGTGCTGGGGGTGGATGACGTGATCATGGAGGTTGATGGACGACAAGTGAAGGACCTCTTCGACTGCAGGCGAGCACTGATGGGTCAGCCGGGTACCTCGGTCTCTGTCACTTTCATGCACAGGGACAAGAACGGGGTCAGTGTCGTACACACGAGCTTCTTCCCGAGGATGTACGTCGAGGGCCCGCGGGCTGCTGACCGGGGGGGGCACGAGGAGGAAGCAGAGGCCAACAAGACGCCGAGGTTTTACAACAGTCGCAGTCACAAGACACCAGTGGCCCTGACAGAGGAGCAGGAGAGGGAGGTCGTGGAGGTGGCTCAGGAGCTGCCTCGTGGCTCCTTAAGCCTGCGAGCGCTGCAGAGGAAGCTGGTCGACCGGCATCCTGCATGGAGGGAGAAGGTCTCAGACGTGCTGGTGCTGGTGGGGGCCCTGAAGAGGAACCGCCTCTTGCCCTGGGTCTGTGCGAGCGAGGCGAGCGAGGCTGAGAAGGAGAGGGAGGAGCGGGAAGTTCTGAGTGCTCGGCCTGACACGGCCCGGGCCTCCTCAGGAGCTCCGACGGCCCTCGGATTGAGGAGATCAGATACGCTGGAGTCGCAGGAGATTGTGGAGAAACTTCAGCTGGGAAAACTGTTGCGAGCTGGACCGACGCGGCGGCCACTCTCGATGCCGCGGGACAAGGCCGTTGTTCCCAAGACCCTCGTGGAAGGGAGCGCAAGGCCCAGCCCGGGCCCAGCTGACTATGCCGTGACGTACGGAAACATTGGGAGCGCGAAGAAAGGCTTCACCTTCACCAGCAGAGCAACTGAGATCGTCCCAGGGACACCTGGCCCAGCTGACTACCAGCAGACGGGCGAGAAGGACGGTGGACCTCGAGGGCCAACGTTTCAGTTCAGACCTCGGACGGCGCTGGTGCGGGTCGATCCTCCTCCTCCTCCTCCTCTCCTGTCCGACATCGTGTCGACCTTCGATGGCAAGGTGAGCCCGCACAGGAGGAGCGTGCATGGCGGAGCTCCCAGCTACAGCATCGCCTCCCGCAAGCTGTGGGAGACGCAGAGGCACTTGGAGTACGGGGAGAGCTTCGACGCGCTCAGCTCTAAGTGGGTGAGAGACGGAGCTGGTCCGGGACAGTACAAGCTTCCTGCCTCAACAGGCTCTGCCTTCTCCTTCCCCTCGAGCGAGCGCTTCGCTGAGGAGCGAGGAGCGAGCATCAATGCAGAGCTCCTCTTCCCGGGTGTCTGCAGAGACGGGACGGCTGCAGGAGTGGGCGGGGGGCTCAAGTTCACGATGGGGGGCAGGTATGTGAGGAGCGAAGAGGATGAGAACATGCCCGGGCCAGGTTCCTACGAGGTCAGCCCTCCCGAGAGGGGAGGAGACAAGGGCCCCTCGATGGCGGCTAGATACCCCTCCTCCTCCTCCTCCTCTGCTGCGCCTGGCCCAGGAGCGTATCGTCCGGAAAACTTCGAAGCCATCGGCTCTGAGCTGGTGGCGGTTGGAGCTGCCAGTCGGATGCAGGAGGAGAAGGAGAGGAAGAGAGTGGGAGAGCAGAGAGCGCAGGTCAACTTCTCGCTAGCCAACAAGCTGATCGACGACCTGAGGAGGAGGCTGAAGAAGATCTTCAAGAGCCCGGAGGAGGCCTTCGCCTTCCTCGACGAGAAGGAGGACCAGCGAGTCACCTTCAGGTCCCTGCGTGCTCAGCTCGAGAGTATCAAGATCAAGCTCGATGACGACGAGATGCGGCTCATTGCTGCCAAGCTCGACCGGGTGAGCTGAGGGATAGCTGGGTTTTCTGTCTTGACCTTTTTCTTTGTCACGTCAGAATCGGGACGGCATCATCAGCGTGGAGGAGTTTCTCGCCTCCTTCACTTGGGGGGTTCAGGTGCAGACGCCCAGGGAGCGTCTGCAGAAGCTGGTGGAGACGTGCAAGCGGAGGATCGAGATCGTGAAGCAGATCAAGCAGCGGATGGTCGAGCGAGACTTCAGCACGAGGAGGAAGCTGGTGGTACCCTCGGAGCCCGTCACTCAAAGGTCTGGGAGGAACTGCGAGGAAGCGGTCTGACGTGCAGACAGGCAAGATTCCAAGAAGAAGAGGAAGATGCACATCTTTCTACGACCTGCTCCACCTGCGAGCGCGAGGAACGACACGAAGAGAGGATACTCCTTTCGCAAACAGACGTGATCGACCCATCCAACTCCATCAGCTTCGTCGATTCTGTACTCGATCAGTTTCACGTTCTTGTAAACTACTACAATCATTCTGCCAAATATCACAAGGTGGTAGGAGCAGAGGCTGGCAGTAGGTGGCTCTCCCGAATGACTTGCTCTCGCAGCTTTCACTTCTTCTTCTTCTCTGCCTTGGCTCCTTCCAGACGGGCTTTGACGTTTGATATGGATACCGGATTTCCCTTTCCGTCTACCTCCATCCAGTCGTCGGAGAGATCGACTGCAAGCATCGTCATCCTCCTCTTTCCTCACCATCCTCCTCTTTCCTTCTCCTCCTCCTCCTCCTCCTCCTCCTCCTCCTCCTCCTCCTCCTCCTCCTCCCTCAGCCTTCTCCTCCCTCACCATCATCAAACTTCGAGCCGTCTGCTGCCTCAACAAGATAACCGTCTCGGATCTCGTACTCGTACTGCCAACATCGTGAGAAGCTCTTCCTGGCACTCCCTCCCTAACCGGGTCCATGCCACGGCACTCGAACGCAGCGATCCTCTGCCATTCCTTCCCTCCCTCAGTCCATGCCTCCTTCTCGTCGTAGGGCTGGACGGTGATGTCGTGCTCTCTCCCGCATCCCTTGCATTTGTACTTGAGATTGACGCTGGCGCCTGCAAAGAACCGTCAACAACCTGGTCCTCCGGTCCTGTCCTCACCTCGAATCCCTTCCACCACATCGTCTCTGCTCACTCCAACGGCATTGGGGGTCTCCTCGTGGCAGGTTGTGCATCTCAGGCGCAGGAAGAACGTATGGTCTTCAGGGACACGAATCCTGCATGAACATGATCAGCACTGCGCCACGACAATCAGGACAGGGGCATGATTCCGTCAGGTGACGAGTATTCTCTTGCGCATTCTCTCATAATTTCATAACTTTCACATCTTGTCGCAGCATTTCAACACAGTTCAATGAAGAACAGGACAATCCATGTAGCACGTGTGAAGGCTGGTACATGACGAAGGGAGAAGGAGGAGGCAGAGGTGGAAGAGTGGACGGAATCTTGCTGCAGGAGGATGGGTCCAACTGACCTGGCGACGTTCTCAGTCTCTGCTGAGATGGAGAGAGCGATCATGGCTGCTCTGCTGGGAGTGGCGAGGAGCAGGAGCAGGAGCAGCAGGAGAAGCGAAATGGTCGCTGGACCTCTTGTTCACAATGGTAAGGGGGGTACCTGATGGACCCCTTCTTTGGCTGTAAAAATATGGGGTGATCTGCAAGCTGGAAATTGGAGTGGTGGGGTGAGGGGGGTGGTCTGAAACTTTCCAACTTCACTATCTGAACTTTCATCCATTTTCTAGGCACCAAACTCTCGAAAGTTCTGACCGTTATTATTCCGTTTGTGACCTCCCAAGATTTTCCGCTGGGTACCACCCACCCCCCCATCGCCCCGCCCGCGGCTCGGTCTGTACCAGGGTCTGTACCCGGCCGAGGTCAGTCGTACAACTCTACCCCCACCTCCTCATGAAGTTTATCAGTACCCCTGCACCCAACCTTTCTTCTAATTACCCCTTCTTCGAGTGCCAACTTGTGTAGAAAGACCCGTTATTATTGATCATTGACCCACCCCATTGGTAGAACGATAACCCCTACCCCACCACCGAAATTTACCGCGGTCAACATGTACCTGGCAAACTGACTGCATGCCGCCCGGGCGCAGACTCGAGAGTCTTCTTCCTCCGCCGTCCTGTTCTCTGCCCCCTGTGCTTGCCCTCTACCTCTCACCACCTATCACCTATCACCCCACAGAGTACAGATCCATCTCAGAATCATTGTTGAATGGAAGACAAATGCCCCTTAAAAGAACAAACGATTCAACTCTGTTGTTTGGTTGTTCATTTTGAACAGACGATTATGACACAGTCATCTCAAGCAGGAATGGGGTCAAGATTTGTCTTTGTCGAGAGGCCACTAGATCCCATCTTTGAAGATTTGCTCAGGTTCGAATTCACACCACTTTACACATACCATGATTCTGATGGGCTCGCCTTCAGCGTACAGACGATCAAGGATTTTGACAACCGAGTGATGGAAATCTACTCTACCATAGATGTGCAAGGAAGAAACAAGATAAATTACAACCAGCTATCAGACTCGCTCAAACGGTGATTGCTTTTGGGCCAGCTGAATTGTGTTGTCTGAATGCGTGTGATTCAGGGTGAAGATCGAACCCCAGATTCGACTCTCAATTGATGATTACGAGAGGATTGTGGAACATCTAGGAAAAACCAAATTAGACTGTCTTTCATCAAGTGAATTTCTTGCGGCCGTGAAAGAAGAGTTCCTCGATTTCTGTCAACGACATATCGACAAAGCTATCCCAACAGTACATAAACATGACCCACAGCTGACTCTTACAATGTGAGGACATCCTATGAACTCTCTCTTCTTGACAGCATATTTCCTTTGCAGGGCAGCGATAAGGATGCTCTTGTCCGAGAAGGAGCAGCGGAAGGCGATCTTGGACCTCCAGGGCTCATCGCGCGAGCAGGATGCAATCATTCAGAACTTACAGCAAGAGATGGCGCAAATGAAGGTGAGAAAGTGACACGACTGTGATGAAGATGACAGTCTACCGGGTTGTGCAGAGGACATTTCGCGCTGCCATTGAGCTCTTCTACTCTCGTACCTGCTGTGCTCATCTTAGAGATGCTGGATGTGAAAACGATGTTTTCAGGCTCTGAAGAGATGGAGAGGGAGATCGACACGATTAAGCAGAAATTTCAAGGTGCCCTAACTTCTCTGTCTACTGCCTCGTGCTCTGACCAAGACTGGAAGAAATCGAAGAGCTCTCGGCGTGCTCGACTCCGCGCAGGTCCAAGTCTTCTTCGCCTCCACCAGGCTCGCAACGTCGGCCAACTTCAGGTGAGCGGGTACTTGCCCGGGGTGGGTCTGGTCTGAAGCTCGAAAAGTAGTCGCAGCTCGAAATGTCAGCGCACGAGTTACGAACCAAACAAGATCGGTATCTGTTACAGCTCCCCTCACCGCTATCTTCCTAATCGTTCGATGACTACAGAGATCGGCAGGCCAACAACAGGAGAACAAGTCACATCACACGTCAAACAGCTCAAGTCAAGTTGCTATGAAACGATTGAATGACTTGCACAGCAAGGTAAAGACTCGCCGCGGCGAGTCACATTGAGGCTGATCTCGCTCCCCTCACGGTATTGACATCAGGTATCTCACTTCAAGACTGCTCTGCACCAAGCGCAATAGAGCAATCCATGAACCCGTCACTGATTTGCCGCAGTTTAAGTTGGCCCTTGTAGAGTTCATCATGTGTACATTAAACCCTACCGTACTACTCAGTGACTAGTAGAGTCCGATCACTGTTCAACGGTTACCGGCTCTGCAGCTGGTGGGCGGCCAGTGCGTCCGATCACCTGGCGGCCACAGTGGGCCAGCCGGGGGCCCACGAGTACGGTCCGATCCGGGCCGGGCGCCGCCGGGCGTCACTCAATGCCGTACTGTGGCCCGGGGGACTCCCGTCAGTTCCCGGCCCGGAGGCCCCGAACTTGGCTGAACGCCCGGCGGATGTGGGCACTGCAAGGCTTGCACAAGGAAACTGGGGATGGCAGGAGTTGAGGCGTAACAGGAGGAGCGAAGAGCAGGAAAGAAGATGGCGAGAAGGAGCGACAGAGGAGGGTCAGAGATACGATACAGCATGCAAGGAGCTGCTCCTTGTGCCTGGGGGGCAGCACGATCAAGACTACAGCTTCTCTGTATCGTCTGCTGCTCGAGTTTCCTCCCTTGCCTGGTCGCTCCCTCCTCCATCCGAGGAGTTCCCTGTTCAGCCTCCTGTTATACCATCTGTCGTCCTCGTCTGAGAGGAGGAGGAGAAGAATTCTTCACTCCCGTGGGATACGAGCCCTCTCCCGTCATAGGGAAGCAGCCAGCGCAGGAGGACGATCACCACGAGGACGAGGCTAAATATGAACCTTTGAAGTTCCCCATCCGCGTTGACCCTGACAGCCCGCCCGAGCACTACCCGGTGCAAGGTGAGGGTGTTGCTGCTGGCTCTGACTCGGCCATGGCAGTACGACGTGTGGGAGTGCATCGTGACTGGGCCGTTGTCGGATCGAAGTCTCATCAATGCGAAGTACCTGGAGGAGGAAGACGCCTCCATGTCGGTTGTTCCTCATGCTGCTGCTGTATGGTTGACCCCAGGGCAGTGAGGGAGTGATAACGATGCGCCTGCCTGAGCATGAGATCGTCATCCAGGCAACGTGTCCTTGTCTAGCGACTCACGTCTGATGTCACGCTCGACAGATGGAAAGAAGGAGCGCAGGGGCAATCAGATTCAGCTCGGGTTGTCAGGACAAGGAATGTCATGTGATGGTGATGGTGATGGAGATGGAGATAATGATGATGATGATGATGATGATGATGATGATGATGATGATGATGATGATGATGATGATGATGATGATGATGATGATGATGATGATCGAAATGGAGATGGAGATGATGATGGTGGTGGTGGTGATAATGATGGTGATGATGATGGTGGTGATGATGATGATGATGATGATGATCGAAATGGAGATGGAGATGATGATGGTGGTGGTGGTGATAATGATGGTGATGATGATGGTGGTGATGATGATCGGAGCTACTGCAGGTATACGAGATCTCCTCTGACGGTTTCGAATGCCAACGAGTTGAGACTGGGAATGGAGAGCTTGAGAGCAACTGTACCGCAGAGGAGGAAGGGGATGGGGGGAGGAAGCTATCGGCATGGTTCTGCCCTGATTCTGTGAGGAGGAAAGTACCATTGCTTCTCAAAACAAACGCTCAACTTCTGTGCAGAATCACGTCCCTGGAGGGGAAGGTTGGATTCTGGCAAACAGGGATGTTCATGAAAGATCCAGTCTCGCAACTCAAGATTGTAACGCCTCCTCTCATTCTTTCTGCCCCATCTTCTTGGGAGTTTCATCGTCTTCATTCGCTCTCCCTCGACCTTCTTCCTCTCCTCCCTCTCCCTGCTCAGCTATTTTCCCTGCCTTGCTGGTTTTCTCCTTCCTCCACCCGCATGTCCATTGCGCTGCCCTGCTGATTTTCTCCTCCTCGATCTTCTTCACTTTGACGTTGATGCAGCTGCGAGTGGGAAGATGGAGCATGGAGCTCGTATGGCCAGGATTCAACGTGAGCAGGAAGGCTTACGAGTCCATAGATGACGTGGCATGCGGCAGATTTGCGTCCTGAACCTTCACGCTGGCGACCTGCAACTTTGGCTGACTCAGAACGGGTGAGGAGGGGAGGAGCAGCAGGCGTCTGGTGAGGAAGAAACAGGTTCTACTTCTTCGGAGGGAAGGAGGGGTGCACGGCTACCAAGACGCTGGTGGGAGGATGCGTGAAGGTGCAGTATCGGCTGCCTTGAGGTTCCTGTGTGAGGCGATCTGAGCAGGTGGAGGGAGGGAGCGGAGGGCCAAGACGCATCAAGCCCACTGATGGGAAGGAAGAGCTGTAAGTCAGGATGGATGGGGGGCTGGCGATGATGGCGGAGAGCTTAAGGAGAGGTGGGAGAGTGATGGGAGGAAGGGGAAGAGGGAGGAAAGTGAAAAGGGAGGTCGAGAAAGAGATTCAGGTCTGATGAAAATGTTTCTGTCCTACAGCTCCAACGTAGTTCTTGAGGGACTTGTTGCCTTCAGAGGAGATGTAGTTCCTTCTATCCCACCAGGTTCATGCAGTCGAACTCTATCCCTCCTCTCTTCCCCTCCTCCCTTCCCCCTCTCTTGCTCATGTGTTGTCTGCCGCTCCCTTTCCTGTCTTGTCTCCTTCTCCTCCTCCTCTTTCTCTGTATGTCCTTCTTCGTCCTGCTGTCGGATCGCATTTTTCTTCATCCCTTCCCTTCTCTTCCGCCATGTCTCGGATGGTTTCATCATGTGCTCCATACACAGAGGCCATGATGAGGAGGAGGCGCGTGAGGAAGACCAACCTGCGAGGAGGAAGCGAGTACTACCAGGAGTTCATGCAAGTCATGTCCGCCGGGGCAAAATGTGAGATGTGAAACTCCACAATGATGGGCAGGAGAAGTAGAATGTGAGAGTAGGAGATGACCAGTGAGAAGATTGTACGAGGAGGGATGAAAATTTCTCTCGTGACTCTTGTGTCTTTCAGCTGTTGAGGACATGAGCAAGAAGGAGGAGGAGCAAATGTGAGCTAAGGAGATGGGGTTTTATGGAATTCTAGTGAAGTGAGATTGCAGGAAGAAATTCTCTACGATGAATTTCAAGTGAGAGATCCTTGAAAACTTTGCCAGGAGATGACACAATGAAATCTTTCCTGCTGCTCTCCTTCGTTCCACCAGAGAGTTGTTCAGTGTCATGTGCAAGGTGAAAAACCCTCGGCAGGACTCCAACTTGTCTTGATGCAGTCTTGACAGGAGTTGAACATGTTCCCACAACAGTCCAAGTGAGGAACAGAATGATGGCCGCCTTCGATTCTGATCGCCTCTTCCCTCCTCCTCTTCTCTCTCCTCCTCCCATCTTCGTCGTTCCTCCCATTTCATCATCCCTCCTCCTCTCTCCTTGCAGATACTTCGAGGTGTTGTGGGACAGGAAACGACCCAACGAAGATTCTTGCACTCAGGTCGTCCTCGTCCTCGTCCTCGTCCTCGTCCTCGTCCTCGTCCTCGTCCTCGTCCTCGTCCTCGTCCTCGTCCTCGTCCTCGTCTTCATTTTTCCTCCTCCTCCTTCATCTCTTCTACCTTCTTTGCTTCCAGTACCCCGCTTGCTTCCATGTCCTCCTGTGTTTTCATCTTCCTTTCAACCAATCGTGGCCCAACCTGATCAAACATGCAGGAGGAGCTAAACATGCTTCTGTGGGAAGCCTCGATCCTCGGGTGAGGAAGAGGAGAAGGGGGGGGGGAGGGGGGCAGGAAGGGAAAGGGCGCGATGAGGATCATCAACAAGGTGGAGGGGGGGCAGGAGTAGGATAGCAGTAGGAAGAAGAAATGGAAATGAAGACGAGAAGGAAGAGAAAGGAACAGATACTCATGGCTTGTGTGTCAGGAATCATTCTTCGATCGAAAGATTGGTGAAAAATGGGGCAGATCTGCGATCAAGGTATGTATAACACTGCTCCTCCTTGCTCCTCTCTCCTCCTTCCTTCAGCAAACTGTACTCTGTCTCCCTCCTTCTCCTTCTCCTTCTCCTCCTCCTCCCCCCCCCTCCCTCCGCTTCCTCCTCTTCGCTCCGTCTGAAGTTGTTTCCTTTGGTTTTCAGCGACTCTCGTCGCGATGGTTGGACTTGCATGCACTTTGCGGCTACAGGCGCTGATCCCCTCTTGTTCGGCGTTTCCGACCAGGCAAGAGACTGAAAGCAAGAGCAAAAGCAAAGATTTGAACAAAGACGAAGTGAAAGGGGGCTTGAGCACGGGGAGGAGGGAGAGAGAGGAAGGAGAGAGAGGAGGGCAAAGGGAGGAAGGGAGGTGCTTTTTTCTTCTCGTCTCTGACTTGATCATCTCAGAATCAGGCGCGAACAATCCGCAAACTTCATTCCCTGGTGAGGTCAAGCTGGAGTCTGTGCTGGTGACATTGCTGGAGGGGGGAGACGTCAACTCAAAAACTCATGGCGGGTGGACTCCCTTGCATTCGGTAACTCCCTCCCTCCCCTCCCTCCTCTCCCTCCCCTCCCTCCTCTCCCTCCACTCCCTCCTCTCCCTCCCCTCCCTCCTCCTCCCTCCCCTCCCTCCTCTCCCTCCCCTCCCTCCTCTATCTCTCTTCCCTCCCCATCCTCACTGTGAGGTCAGGCGGCGGGCAAGGGCTTCTCTCAGACGGTCCTTCGCCTCGTCTCTCTTGGGGCTCAGCTGGACTCTGTCGACGAAGAAGGCTTTACACCGCTGCACGAGGCTGCGAGATGGGCGAGGTGAGGAGGGGAGAGAAAAGAAGAAGGAAGAGAGACAAAGGGAAGAGAGAGGAAGGGGGGAGAGAGCAAGGGAGGAGAGAGGAAGGGAGGAGACAGGAAGGGAGGAGAGAGGTCGGAGAAGGGCAGAGGAGGAGAGAGGAGGAGGACTGAGTTTGATGGTGTCGATGCTGACTGAAGCTGCAGGAAGGAGACTGTGCAGATGTTGCTCACGCTGGGAGCGAATCACAGGTCGGAGTGGGGAGAGGAGGACAGGAAACAGAGGAAGAGGAAGGGGGAAAGTGAGGAGGGGAAGGAGGAGGAGGAGGAGGAGAATTTTGAGAGATTTGCGAGCGAGCGAGAAGGGGGGAGATGCCAGGGGACGGAAAGTATCTCACGAGAGAACGGGGAGAATAGGAGGGAGAGCGGAGGAGAGAAGAGGAGAGAGGAGTAGAGAAAGAAAGAGAGAAGGACAAAGTAGACAAGAGGGAACAGCAGAAGGGGGAAGAAAAGAGGAAGGGCAGGAAAGAAGAGGGCGAGGAGGTGAGGGGAGGAGACAGGAGGAGAGGAGGGAGATGCAGTGTGGCGATGAATTGGTTTTTACGAACAGCGTGAAAGACAAAAACAACATGACCCCTCTGGATCACGCGAGGAAAATGAGCGAAACGGTGAAGAAGGAGGGGTGTGAAGGGAGGCGCTAATAGCGGAGGAGATCAGGAGAGGAAAGACGAGGATGAGGACAGGGAGGGACAGGGGACAGGGACAGGGAGGGACAGGGGGGAGGGGGAGGGGGAGAAGGACGGGGACGGGGAGGGGGCAGAGGGGAGGGAGGAGAGTTGGGTGATTGGAAAATGGATGGAAGGAGTGAAGGAGCGAGGAAGAAAGAGAAAGGTTGATGAATTGATTTACGGGTGAGGAGGAGGACGAGGAGGAGACAGGGGGGAGGGGGGGCGAGGAGGAGGAGGGAGCTAACTTTGATGAATAGATGAATAGATATGGTTCAAACGATACTGTCCATATCCTCCAGTCCATGTGAGAGAAAGAGGGGAGGAGTCGAGGGAAGCCACATTGGGGAAGAGAATGGCAGAGAGACATCGGAGGGAGGAGGGAAGAGGAGAGGAGAGGAGGGGAGGGGAGGGGAGGGGAGAGGAGAGGGAGAGGAGGGGAGGGGAGGGGAGGGTCTAGACGGAGACAACTGTGGATATGAGGGATTGCGCAGAGCTCAGGAAGGCTCAAAGAACGATATGGAGGAAGAAATCAGTAGCGACGAAGTTTCCAACGACGACGAAGAAAACTCTGTGATGATGAAACCTTGCTGCTGCTTCTGCTTCTGCTTCTGCTTCTGCTGCTGCTGCTGCTGCTGCTGCTGCTGCTCTCTTCTGCTGCTTCTGCTTCTGCTTCTGCTTCTGCTTCTGCTGCTGCTGCTGCTGCTGCTGCTGCTGCTTCTTCTGCTGCTGCTTCTTCTTCTCCTTCTTCTTCTTCTCCTTCTTCTTCTGCTGCTGCTGCTGCTGCCATCCTTGTCTTCTGCTCTCTTACCACGTCTGTACCAACACATTGACATGTGCTTCAGGATGTTGTACACCTCCTCGATCCCTCAAGGTTTCTGTTCTCTTGCTCTCTCTCGTTCACAGCAGATTCCTCCTACTTTCCTCTCCCCTCCACTCCCCTCCTCTACTCTCCATTCCTTTCTCTCCTCCATTCCTCCTCCTCTCTCTCTATCGTTCTATCTCTCTGTCTCTCTCTTCTCTTTATGATTCCTTCTGCTCCTGCTCCTGCTCCTGCTCCTGCTCCTGCTCCTGCTCCTGCTCCTGCTCCTCCTGCTCCTGCTCCTGCTCGTCTTCTCCTCTGGGTTGTAACTCTGCGAAGGTTGCAGCTGATGAATCAAAGAGCCCGAAGGCTGCAGGAACTCGGTCCGAAGGAGCAGATGGTGAAGGGGCCCGACGGGTTCGTTGCCGACCCGCGAGCAGGCGCTGCGTGAGATTTTGCGTAGGAGATGGTGCAAGCTCGACATGTCGATGCCGAGACAGGAGGAGAAGGAGAAGGAGAAGGAGAAGAAGAAGAAGAAGAAGGGGGGAAGGAGGAGGGGAGAAGGGGAGGGGAGGGGAGGGAGGGAAAAGCTCCGAAGGAGGAGGAGGAGGTGGACGTGAAGAAGAGGAGGGTGCTGGATGATGATGACTTTCTGGCGGATCTGGACTTTGGAGAAAAG